CCCTGTGTCCCCAGTCCTATCTAGGCCCACCTGCCACCTCCTTCCCCCCAGCCGGCCCCTGGGGGAGGACGCGGCCTTCTCATCTCTCTGCTCACCCCACGTGGAGGATGAAATGCCGGTTCGTCGCCAAGGCTCTCCACAGGGAAGCTGTTTGCATTCCAGACTCACCCTCTCTGTGCGAGTCCTGAGCTGGGGCGGGTCCCCCGGGGCCCCACCTCCTGGGGCCGAGTCTGGGCCGGGCCTGAGGGCTGCACTTGACAGGCTTAGGGTGTAAGTGAGCTGGGGATCCTGGCGAGAAGCGGGACCAGCAGCCACTTTGCCAGTCCCCCCGGGAGGCGGGAGTGGGGTGGACAGCAGAGGCCCTGGGGTTCACAGCCCTGGGGTAAACGCTGGGCCCCTGCAGCGGACCCCTTCCCTGCGCCTCTTCTGCTGTTCTTTTCCCGGAGGAAAGACACTCACTCTCCTTCCCACACAGCACCGAGAAAAATCACTTGCACATAGTAGCTGCTCAGTGAACGTGAAGAATGCATGACTGATTGCTGTTTTCATGTTAACTTCGCTTACGAGGGGCTGGTCACTTATCTGTAAGCAAATATGTTGAGAGCAAACATTTATGTTGACATCAAAGCTTAGTATCTGTGATCTGTGCTGATACGCAAGGGAGAGAGATCAGGCAGGTATGAAGCAGAATTCCGTGGAGTCTGAAAATCCAGACGCTGCCCGAGAGGCGTCTGTCTGTCCTCGGTGCGCCGTCCGGGCCTGCGAGTTCTGGAAGCATCGGACGAACTCAGGTCTGAAGGTTGAGTGATATGTTCAAGTGTTGAAACTTCTCCTCTACTTCTAAGTGTTAGTAAAAAAAAAAAAAATCACTTTCTCTGGCCTTAGATTTACTGTTTGTTTCTGAAACATGTATCTCCATCTTCTGAGAAGCTGTGCTTTCCCCCAAATGCAGAAGGGGGGACGCTAGGTAGAGATGGGGTTGTACAATCTTCCCCGGGGGCCGGGTCCGCAGCAGTGTGGCCTGCCGGTGGCCTCGGGGAGGCTGGGGACAGCGCCGGGCGGGGGGGTGGTCTCCCGGAGGACAACCCCGTATCACTCAGGAAGCTGGTGGACACAGAGCTGGCTCAGGCCAGGTGCTGGGGGTCCTGGGTCTCCGTGGGCGGCCCAGCATCTGTGTCCATGTGTTACCTCCCAAGCGGCGGATCCCCTACGGGAGACAGTGCCTGCCGTCCTCTGCAAAGTGGCCCAGGGTGGTCATCTGAGTATGGGGGCTGCTTGGGGAGGGCCCCCTGCACCTGCCCTGACCTGGTCACTGTAACCAGTCAGCCGGCCCCTGACCAGCCCAGGAAGCCTTATTGCCCCTGTAGACTGGGCTCTTTCCTCTTATGAAAATGAGTGAAACCCACAGACGAGGCGGTTCCTTTCACAGCAGTCTCACACGGACTTCTCTCAGCTTCGAGCTGCGGAGGGAATTCCCACGCGAATTTTAACCAGGGCTGCTTTGCATCGATGTGGCTGTGTGGCTCCCAGGGTCCTAAGCCAAGGTATCTTTAGTTCCCCTCGGTGGCAAGGCTCTGGCAGAAAGCGTCCCCAGGTTTTGCCCAGAGTCCCGTTCATTTCTGCCACCGTCACCTCGGTCTGTATTCTGTGGGGAGGCTCTGGGGCCCAGTGACACAGTGTCAGCCCCATTAGCCTGCTGAGCGCGGACGGAGAGGTCCTTTGCAGGAAGTGAAGGGGCCGCACCTGCAGGAACCACGCTTCATGGCTCTTAAGAAAAGCAGACGTCTCCAAGCACCGGTCACGGCCTCTGACAACGGGGACAGACAGGGCTTAAGCAAAAACGGAAGTACGAAGACACAGCCTGCCCCCTTCACGGCTGAGGTTAAAGCACTGAAACAGACAAGGATTTCGGGAACGAGAATAACACTGTCGAGAACGTGTCTTACCCCAAGGCAGGGTCGTGCATCTCCAGCCACGAGGGAGGGTCTTTGCCTGGGAGAGGGAACCACGTCGTGGGGTCCAGCCCCCTTATCCACAGATGTCACGATTATGAAGTCACCTTCTCGCCGAAATGTTTCTGCAGCCCACAGCCAGCGCTCATCTGGTCTGCGTGGTCAGCTGTGGACGTGCTCAGAGCAGCAAAGCGGTCGTCTGCTCCCACGCCCATTCCCGGCCAGCCGGGTCCCGGGGGCTGCATTCGACCTCCTTGTCCCGTCCGGGCTCACACTGCAAACAGGTGTCCTCTCCGGGGTCTACTTACTGCCGTGTTTTTTATACTTCTTTGTGCTTTTGGCTGGTGACAATGTTGAGAATGTCCCCAGGTTTAGTGCCAGCCAGCAGTGGTTGGGGGGCCGGTTCCCTCCATGGGACTCTGCTCACTTCCGACCCTCCCCACCCTTTGCTCACAGTGATGGCGATAATGAATTTCACCAGGAGATATTTGAGCACCTAATCTAGTGGTGACATTGTCCTTCCACTTTAATGCAGTGGAAGGAACATGTCAGATTTGCAGGCAGCCTGGGCCGTGAGCACAGCGGTTTCTGATCAGGCAGCCTGGGGGTTGTTGCCCCCAGGGGAATTAGAAAACATCTGCAGATGGTTTGTGTTGTCCCAGTGGGGGATTTTGGGGGTGCTGCTGACAGTAGTCAGTGGAGGCCGACTGGTCATGGACAAGACAGGCCCCGTGACAGAAGGATCCAGCCCAAACGTTGGGAAACCCTGAGCTAGGGTAATGTCGGGTGATGACAGCGGGGGCCGACAGAAGGAGGGTGAGCCTCAGTGTTTCCATGTGCAGTGAGGGCAGGGACATGCTTTGGCCACCGTGGAAAAGGCAGCATTCATTAGCTAGAAGCCCAATGTGAATACCAGGGTGCTGAGACCACTCACGGTCACGACTGGGGACACCAAGTGCAGACCCAGGAGTGGCCTGTGCCCCTGCTTGTTTAGGTGCCCACCGTGGTGGCACTGAAGCTGGCCACACTTTGGAGAGGGTCTTGGATGAAATGGAACCGTGTGGGCAAAGTGCCCAGGATGGGGAATGCTCTAGAAATAGTGTGACAGGGACAGGGAGGGGGCTCGCCAACATCGCCTGCCTGCCGAGTAGGGGTGGGCCGTGAGGAGGGCGGGAGGTAGGGAGAACTAGGTAAGACGCATCGACGTGTGCGAGAGGCGGTGGTTTCCTCCAGGGTGACATCAGGGCAGATGGTGAGAAGCCACGGCTTTGGGATGTACTTGGATGAAAACTCATGAGAGATCCCGGGAGAACTCCAGGTCCAGTCTCCCGCACGGAGCTCAGGTGCCCCCAGGAGCGGGCATGCCGTCGGCTGACTCCAGAGGTTAGTGAGCTGTGACAGGGACGGGTGTGCAAACCCTGGCGTCTCATCTTTCCCAAGTTAAGACAGAGGGAGGCACCTGTGGGCATGTGACATTGATGTGCCTGTTGGACAGCCAGGTGGGAACCCCAGGTGAGCAGCTTTTCAGTCAGGAGCTCGGTGGGCATGGCAAGGTGTGGGGTTGGCGAGCACTGCCAGTGGCGGGGAGGGGCACGTGCAGGGAGAGGATGAGGCGGGAGCCCCAGCCCCAGCCCCGGCTTGCAGAGTAAGTGAAGGAAGGAGCCACGGAAGAAGAGAGACTGACCCACTGAGGCAGGGCCGCTGGGATCCGTCCAGTGTTCCCAAAGGTCAAGCCAGATAAGGTGGGCAGGGGCTGACCTTGGGTTTGGCCACCTGGTGACGGCAAGAGCGTAGGCAGAGATCGCCGGTGGGAGAGCCGAGGGATGGAGCAGGGTTTTGGCAGCTACGGAGCACAGGTGGGTAAGGTGCCCGCGGGCCGCAGCCCGTCTCTCTGCACCGCCCTGACAAGGGCACGTTGACCTATGTGCGCGGCATCAGCTTCTGAAAACAGAACCTCTCTCTGGATGCGTTATTTTGAAATACGCTTCTATTAATCAGCCGGTGTTTGTGGCCACCTGCCACGTGCCAGGAACCGTTCCGGGCGCCCAGATGGGTGCTGGCATCTCCGTGTTGGTCCTGAAGGCGGCAGGCGGTTGGGGGGCCGAGGCGGGAATCTCACTCTGGGGAGGTCCCCGCGTGGGACGGGACTGTGGTCTGTGGCGATGAGCTTGGCGGGGGGTGTGGGGGTGTGAAACAGCAGAGTGAGAGATGTTGCCCCAGGTGTCACAAAACGTGATTCCGCGTCCTAAAATGGTTTTCTGCTATGAGCTGCCCATCGAACCTGGGTCATAAGAAGGCCCCGGAGGAGGCAGGGAGGCCACCTGTCTGGAGGAGCTCACCCCGCACCGTCCCGCAGCCCCAGCCCCCTTGGAAAGCTGGCTGCGCACGCGTGTGCCAGCGGAGGTGTGGGGCGTGGGTCTGCTCTGTGGGGTCCAGGGGACCCCTCTGTTTCTCAGTTTGGAGCTTTTGAATAAAGTGGTTTCAGGAGTGGAGAAAAGTCACGGGAAATGTTTAAATAGGCCAAACTCAGGCAGCAAATTCTCCGCGTGGGTGTTAAACCCAGTGCAAGCAACAGACTTTTCCCCGGGTCGGAGGAGAAGGCAGATTTGGCCTGAAGGCAAGTCGCGGGTGGGGGCAGGGGTGGGGCTGTGTCCACGGGCAGGTGGAGGGAGGTGCACAGAGGGGACAGCACTGCCCTGGGTTCCCGGGTCAGGGCAGGAGCAGCCCAGATGGAGGCCCCACAGCCCGGGGCTCACCATGGTGAGCCAGCGCTGGTGTCCGGAAAGCAGGGGAGGATGGCGTGTGGTGATGAGCCCGGGGGCACCCAGCAGAAGGCCCTGGCTGGGTGCTGGAGGGAGCACGACCCGGGCCTCACAGACGGTGTTCACGCCCCAAACTAAATAGCCCACGCCTGAGCCCTGCCTGTCCTTGCCGGAGGCTTCCCGCCGGTCGGGCGGACCTGGTCCGGCTTTCCGAGGGTCAGCGGGTCAGCCCCTGAGCTTGCTGCCCGGGGCCTGACCCACGTCCCATCTTCTGTCTCCCTGCCAGGAAGACCCCCGCTGTGCGCCGTGGGCGCTGACAGGGAGGCGCCGGCATGGCGGGGAGCGCGGCCGACAGCGCCAACCACCTGCCCTTCTTCTTCGGCAACATCACACGGGAGGAGGCGGAGGACTACCTGGTCCAGGGCGGCATGAGCGACGGGCTGTACCTGCTGCGGCAGAGCCGGAACTACCTGGGCGGCTTCGCGCTGTCGGTGGCGCACGGCAGGAAGGCCCACCACTACACCATCGAGCGCGAGATGAACGGCACCTACGCCATCGCGGGCGGCAGGACGCACGGCAGCCCGGCCGAGCTCTGCCACTACCACTCGCAGGAGTCCGACGGCCTGGTCTGCCTCCTCACCAAGCCCTTCCACCGGCCGCCCGGGGTGGAGCCCAAGACAGGCCCCTTCGAGGACCTGAAGGAGAGCCTCATCCGCGAGTACGTGAAGCAGACCTGGAACCTGCAGGTGCGTCCCGGCCCGGGCGGTGGCCGACTCCCTGGGGGGCCCCGTGGGAGGGCGCCCCGGCTGCCCCGCCGCACGGGCCCCCAGACAGGCCACCCGGGAGTCAGCAGGGGGTCGCCCTGTTCAAGCGGTTGGGTTCCTGATTCTGTACCTTCCTAGGCGTCTCGGGCAGAAGGTTCCGGGCGAGCACGCGGGGCTGCAGCGGCCCCTCATTGGCGCCTGGCATTCCCCCAAGCGCCCTGTCCTGCCCCGGGCCTGTGCCTAGTGATGGTCCCTCCGTGACGCTGGGAACTTCCCTCTGCCTCTCGTTCCCAGCCGCTGGGAAGGAAGACTCCCAGCTAGTCGGGTTGGCCACAGGGGCATGTGTGTGTTTAATGAGTACGCAGTGACACGCCGTCCACAAAGGCCCCAGGGCGGGGGGGGGACAGCTCAGGTCCCGCCACACTCTTCCCAGCCCCCGATGTCCGGAGCTAGCGGGCTGGCTGAGGGTCTCCCGCTCAGATCTGGGTGTCCGGGCATCTCTCTTGCGTTTCCCGGGTTCTCGCACCACGGCCTCCGATGCCCACGGACGTGTGACAGGACAGGGTTTTGGGGGACTCTACACGGTGACTGCTTTCCCTCCTCAAATGGGATCTCCATGGACCCGGCCTCACAGACGGAGAGCAGCAACCTGGTCAGCACCGGTCATTAGCCGCGCAAGCTACGCCTTAGGCCATCTTCTTACATTTTTAAGTCCAATCGGACGTGTGGAGCTATACTCTACACACAGTAGAACTAAGCTTTTTAGGCCTACAGTGCTGTGATTTTTGACCAACACAGAGCACCCCATAGGTCCCACTAAAACCAAGATGAGCAGCCCCTACCCCAGCCCCCAGAAGCCTCCGCCTGCGTTCTGTCCCTACAGTGCTTTTTCCAGAACGTCGTATGTGAAGGGACCCACACGTCCCCTCATTTGGATTCATTATATTTTTATTTTCTTTTTCTTGTCCATCTTTACACCGTCCAATAACCCAGTGTGGGGTCCTCATTTTCAGCTGCGGAGAATACCACTGTGTCTCCCACTAAGTGAGCCCGGGAAGGGAACTCAGCCAGCTGCCAGCCCCCTCCCGATTTTGTTTTCCACGTTGTCACAGCTCATGTCCTCCGCGCCCTGTGGCCACATTTACATGTACAGGCAAGAGCGTGTGAGCGCTGGGAGGTGGCCTCGGTGGGCAGCCGGGAAAACCGTGTCTCCTTCGTGGCCTGAACCCGGGGGCTGCTGAGTCAGGTTCTGATCCAAATCTGTCAGGTCCCTGCAGGGCCGTGATCCACAGGGGACAGGAGGCTGGTCTCAGGACCTGGGGGGTCGTGCCAGTTTCTGAAGCCCCGGCCAGCTTCAAGAGGCTTCTGGAACCGGCACTGGTAGTTCTCTACCGGGTGGTACTAGATCACGTGTACAGATCTTACGGCTTTATTTGTGATGAATGAATTAGCAGCCAGGACTCGGGACAGATGAGAAAGGGCTCCTGTGTCTTGTTCTCATTCGTGCGTTGTCCCTCTCTGCGCCCTCCTCGTGGCAGGGCCAGGCTCTGGAGCAGGCCATCATCAGCCAGAAGCCGCAGCTGGAGAAGCTGATCGCCACCACAGCCCACGAGAAGATGCCTTGGTTCCACGGGAAGATCTCAAGGGTTGAGTCTGAGCAGATCGTCATGATAGGATCCAAGACAAACGGAAAGTTTTTGTAAGTATGGGGTCTCTCCCCCTCACCTGCCACGGCCGGCCCCGCTCGGAGGGACGGGGCAACTCCGCTTCCCCGTCACTGGAGCTTCATGAGCCCACACGCCCATGGGCCCGCCGTGAAGACGTTTCCAAAGCCGTCCCTTGTCATTCAACCTGTGTCTTGCCCAGTCCAACCCCAAGGCCAGCCCTCTTTTCAGGTACTGAGGGACATAACCTTTAAAGAAATGTTATCCCGCCACGTGTTTTGTTTTTTGTGGCAAAGACGAATGCGTAGTGGTCCCTGTGGCTGTCAACACTGCGGCCTGTTCACTCACAGCCCCCCAGATGTCGGGCTTTAACTTCTCTTGTGTCCCTGGGAATCAAGCGCCCGGAGGACAGAGAACAAAATGTGCTGAGTGTTGGAGCGGGTTCCTGTGATGTGATCCCACGCGGGTGTGTGGGCGTCAGCCTCACAAACTCAGAAATGAAGCGTGGGTTCCACTCTGCTCATTGTCACCCGATGTCCGATGGACCTCAGTCCTCGAGATCCTGGGGAGGCCCGCCCCCTCGGGGCAGGTCCGTGGCCGCGGATGGCACAGGCTGTCTCAGGCGGGTGTGGGCCGTATGCCCCGGAGATGTGGCCCAGCTGACACCCCAGTGTGGCTGGCAGGGGGCGCGGGTCTCCTTTCGTCCCTGCTCGGTGACGCTCCAGAACAGAGTAGCCGGGTTGGCCCACGTTGGGAGCCGAGGTGGGGATTTAAAGGGCACAGCGTCAGCCTCCAACAGAAATCCCGCGGTGGGGACAGTTTTCCTCGTGGGGCACCTGTCTGCTCGTCTGCCCCTGAGGTTCAGACTTTTACTGTCTTCTTAGGACTAATTCCCAACACAAATGTCATGGGACTGTGCACGTAGCATCTTGGTGCATGGTCAGCCCCGAGTGCTCTATTCCAAAGAGTGATGGAGGCCTCTTGCCTTCATGATGGTTCAGACACCTGCTCCCGGGCTCGCTGCGGACCAGCTGTGGTCAGAGCCTGCTCCCCGCTCACACGGGAGACCTGGGACAGCCGAAGGCTCCGCTGCGGGCTCCTTCCCCAGCAGCATCTCACATCTCATCCCAGCTTTCCGTAGAATGTCCCTCCTGCGCTCTTTCCGGTCATGGGAGTTGGCTCACCCGTCCCTGACCCAGTGTCCCCTAGAACCCACACTGTGGGGGCTGCCAGCACCATTCTGCACAGTAGAGACCGAGCCACACGGCCAGCTGCCTCCTGAGCTACCATCTCAGGGGGAGCGGACACTGAGGAACAGAAGCCGTACAGCGGCCTGGGGCACAGAAGGAAAGGGATGGACACGCCGCGGCGGGGGTAGCAGGTTCTATTCTGTGCCGAGACGAGGGGCCTTGCTTCAGGGAGAAGCTGAGCAGAGGAGACCTGAGGACCGTGGGGAGCCTCCGGCGGGGAAGGGCATGTGCCCTGGGCACCGGCAGTCGGTCCGTGCACCTGGGGAAGGTGTTAGGGCAGAGACAGCCGCTGTCCGTGGGGCCCGTCTGGCTGGGCATCGGGGAGTCCTGCAGGGCTGCCGGAGTGGGCACGCTCGAGGCCACACGGCGTGCGTTCGCGCACGCTGGAACCGAAGCGCCACGTCCGCTTGCTGCACATTTCAGGGCCGCCACCTCCTCGAGCCCGAGTGCAGGGGCTGTGCGGGATGCTTGTCGGAAGAGGGAGTGGTGTGGGGCTGGCGTGTAGCTCTCGTGCTGTGTTCCTGCTGCATGACCCCGTGCCTCATGGCTCTGCTCCGTGGCCCTGTGCTTTCGTGGCCCAGCCTCGGGGCTCTGTACTGTGGCTCTGCTCCGTGGCCCTGCACCGTGGCCCTGCACCGTGGCCCTGCGCTGTGCTCTGTGCACCTGGCTCTGGTCAGGGCCAGGGCTCTGGGTCTCTTCCCTGCAGACGTGCCCTCATTGTGAGCACGGCTCCTCTGTGTGTTCTGGGGTCCCTGGCACGTGCTCCATTGAGGAGGAAGGCAGGATTTGGGGTGGGGACGGCCATGTGGGTTTCTCAGTTTGCGCTGCTGGTTTCCTACACTGGTCTGGTCCCAGCCCTTCTAGGACATGGTCTGGCTGCAGTCAGCGGCCTGCTGCATGATCAGCAACCCCGATTCCCTCCGCACTGCCTCTCACAGGGGCACTTGTTCCTGGCACGACCCTGTCTGAGACCTGTCAAGGCCAGCCTGCCCTCCTCAGGCCCCACAGAGCCCCCGGTAGAATGATAAGAACCAAGGAGGCTCTCCGATCCAGAAAAGAGGCTCATCTTTGTGGCTCCGAATGCTGGGTATCGTGGACTCGATTTGAGATAATCCGATGCGTGTCGGTGTGCTGGCATCATGTCCAGTGCTCTGCAGGTGCTTAATAAATACAGATCTTCCTTGACATGCGATGGGGTTGCATCCCGACAAACCCTTAGTAGGTGGGAAATATCACAAGTCAAAGATGTATGTCATGCCTCTGCACTCTGGGACAGACAGCACGGCTGAGCCCAGCCCCCAAATGCACTCAGAGCCCCTCACTTGGGCATACGGTCGGGCTAAATCATCGCCGTGAAGCCCATCTGAGAGTCAGGTGTTGACCGTCTCACCTATCACGAAACGCATGTTGGCTGTCATGAAACGCTGCGTGGGAAGCGACAGAATGGTCCGTTATCCGCTCCCTAGATGGCGTGGCTGCCTGGGGGCTGCGGCCACCCTGCCTGGCGTCACGGCGGGGGCCACACTACGCATATCGCCCACCCGGGAGAAGGTCCACGTTCAAACCCGAAGTACAGCTTCTACGGAACACGTAGCACTTTCTCTTCACGGCTGTGAAGTTGGAAAATCACAAGACGAATCGAATCATGAATTGGGGACTCCGTGTGCAAGCTGGTTTGGGGTCCTGGAACCCAGGGGACGCTGTTGGGCAACACTGGAGGCTTGGCCGTTCCACGTAGAGAATGATGTGGAGGGTCAAATGGGGACGTTGCACGCTTTCATTCTGGAGCCTCTGGTTTGCATTTACGGTTCAGTGTGGCAAGACCCCTCTCTGGGGAGAGCACACGCCCCTGCCACCACGGAGGACACGGGAGGGAGGTCGGCCTGTCTCGAAATGTGTGAGGCCTATGTGAGGCTGTGAATCGTCACCCGTACGGCTCAAGATGCAGGACGGAAATCCAGAAACCCCCAGCCACCAGGGTTGTGTCGGGGGGATGCCGGCCGACTCTGGCCCACTCTCCTCTCCTCATGGATCGGAGTGTGAAGTCCACGTGTGGAGGCAGAAGCCTTGGGCGAGAAGGGTCCTTACGGCTCGTGGGTGTAAACCCTGGACTTTCTAAGGGGGACTCAGGCACAAGGGAGCTTGCTCACAGTGGTGAGGGAACTAGGTGATGAGAGCCCGGACCCAGGGTCCTAAGGGGTCTGGCCTGAGACCAGTGCGGTGGCCTGCCCTCCCGCAGCTCCCCACGCCGGGCATGGCGCCAGGGCGTGTCCTTGGGAAGTGTCAGCTTTCCCCTGTGTGTCTCCCGTCCACACAGCCTGCCGGGACCACACGGCAGTGACTTGGAAGAGGCAGGTATCAGGGTCTTCATACTATGCTGGAAGAATGAAGGGGGCGGGCGTGAAGGGTCTTTACCGCGGACATGGACGGTGTGGGCCGACAGACCCTCGGGGGGCATCATCTGCGGTGTTCCTAGAGACGATTATTCCCCACCTGCTGTCACGGGCTGGATGTTCATGTCCTCCCCAAATTCATACGGTAAACCCTAGCCGGTGTAGACGTGTTTGGAGGGGGCCCTCTGAGGGTGGGCGGGGTCAGAGGAGGTCGTGAGGGCGACGTGATGGGTTAGTGGGAACAGGAGGCTGGAGGCGTCCGTGTGTGCAGGCACCGGGGCTGGCCCTGTGAGCGCACAGCCAGACGGGGGCACCGACCGCCCGGGAGGCGGGCTCTCACGGGACTTGGAATCCACCGCACTTTGATCTGGGACTTCTGGCCTCCACAGCCTTGAGGAAGAGATGTCAGCCCTGAAGCTGGTATTTTGACTAAAACACCTGTGCATGTCTGGGGTCTGGCCAGCCACACGTGAGGACAGGGACACGCCCATACACCCCCAGCCAGGGTCCTGCAGGTGGGGGTCAGAGCTCTGCCTTCTTGGCCACCCCAGGGACCAGGGCTCAGCTAGGGAGCAGCCGCTTGGCTCTCTGAAGCCCTCCACGGTGACATGGTGTGCCGCCTTGAGAAATTAGTTCAGGTGGAGCTGAAAAGTGAGTTTCTTAGAAAAGGTAAACAACTTATTTTCCAAAAGTTACGTATCTCCCTCCGGAGGAAGGACCCAGGATTGGTGGGCTCCAAAACACATAGTTTGGAGACCCTTTTTTAAAATAACACAGTTAGGTGCAAAGTGTATTTTTCAGGATAAGAAAAGAATTGCAACATATTATACTTTTTTAAAGCTGGGAAATAAGGTAACAGACATACAACGTTCAGAAAGCAGTGTTGTGGTCTTTGACCTAACGGCCCAAGCCTTCCCAACAGTACCTTTTATTTTCTCTATTTTTCAACTGTAATGCTTGACCACCTCTTCCACGGACAGTAACGTGGTGATATTATTTCCTACGTATGGAGAAAAGAAAACCTGGTCCTCCCTCTGGGTTCAGCACTCAGCAGTAGTGACGCACGCATGTTTTCAGACTCCTTGCCGGCGTGGGGAAGTCAGAGCAGGGGAGAGAGCGGTGTTCTCCAGTTGAGATCAGGTGTCTCTCGAGAGACCAAACTCACATTATTTCCTGGTTCTTATTTACCACTCGCTTTCCCCTGGTCCAGCTTCAACTCCCTTTTTTTAATATACTTAAATTCCAAAAGCAAAGTGTGGGTTTAGAAAAGCCTTTCCCGTTGCTCACTGATGTGTGAGATGACATGTGGCTGGCCCGAGCCCTTTGTGCCACGATGAAGGCCATCGGCGCCGTCACTGGTCAGAGGATGCTATGTTATCGGACATGTGTGGTTCTGGGGGCCCAGGTCAGGCTGAGGCACAGCCCGTCTGAAGTGAGAGTTTGAGGTGCTTGTGGAATGATGTCAGTATGAACTCATTGATCTGCCCGAGGCCCCTGTGAGACTAGACGAGGGCGCGTGTAGCCCAGCTCCACTTCATGAACCAGAGCAGAGAGACGAAGGCCTCGGGTGGGGACCCGTGTTCTGTGCTGACTGTGCTTTGTAACGGGGCCCAGAAGGTGTTTTCTTTTCTCTTTCTTTTCTCCATCTTTCATGGATCTGTAGGAACCCTACATCGCATTCCCTCCCAGCCCTCTAGCTCTGCTCCCCAGAAGCCATCGTTCTACAGACCGTTGGCCGAAGACTGGCCCAAGGCCCCACGCAGGGCAATGTCCACCCTGGACAGGAAGGGCAGGCCTGTGGGAGCCCCCTCCGGGTCTATCCGTACAGCACACCCCAGCCACAGTGACCGTCCCTTGCCATCCCAGCCCTCTTTCCACTCTGGCCAGCCAGGTTCTGTGGCACCATGGAAACAACACATGGGACCGTGAGAACAGCAGGGTGGCGGGCCTGTGCCCTGTTCTTGTGTTCTGTCTGCAGCAAACCTAGCCCAGTGTCCCAGGACCTGGGAGGAGGGTGGGGGACGTGAGAGTGCCTCTACCACCCAGGTCCTCCCATCCCCGCCAGGGCCTGGGCCGCACCAGTGCACAATATCTCTGACGTAGGAGGCCAGGGGAGGAGGGCAGACAAGGGGTTCAGGTCCTCCAGGCTGGGAATGGCAGGACGGACGCTCCCCAACCGCACAGGCCAAGGGCTTCAGCATCTGTGCAGTGCAAGGCCATGAGCCCAAGTCCTCCGCCCACGGTGGCCGGTGGCTGCCCTCTGACCCTGCTGAGCCGCTGCGCCTTGCAGCGTCTAGGCCCAGCCATGGTCCAAAGCACGGGAATCCCACCCTCCACGATAGCAAAACACACTGGCTGTGAGCTTGCGGCTTCCAAGAGCCTCACGGAGAAGAGCTACGGGAGGGCTTCTGTGAGCGTTCCCGAGGCTGGCTGAGCCTGGGGGCAGGAAGAAGACTGCATCTTCCCCTCGCTGGGGGTCTGTGTGGTGGCGTGCCGGGGCCAGGGAGCACTCAGAGGGGCAGGAGGGGGCCGGGAGGAGGCCACCTCGGCTTCCAGAGCTGTATTCCTAGTGCACTGGATTAAAAAATAGCCCCCCTCCCCGGGAGCCACCTGAAGCCAGCAAACCCTTCGCCGTGGCTGGCTGTTCATGTCACCAGGGCTCTTGGTCTTGGCCACCTACAGAGGCTGGGCCTGTGGCTTTCCCTTCTCTGCCCTCGTTTCCTGCCAACTGCTCGGGGGCTGGGAGGCAGCAGGCCTGCTGGTCCCGGAGCGCACCCCCAGGAGCTGGGGCAGCTGCCCGTCTGGAGCCCCAGGAGAGAGGGGCTCCCCTCTGGGACCCGAGCCCCAGGGGCCGGGGAGAGCCGAAGGAGGGGTGCGCTTTCGCTGACGTCACTTGTCTGGAAGCCAGACACACTGTCTTTCCGCCTTGCACCAGATTCTCTTTATCCCATCCTTGTCGTGAAGTCTAACACGTGCGAAGGAGGGCAGCAGCCGCGGGGGGGAGACAGCAAGCCCCCCCCGCGCCGCAGGACGCCCGCCCCACTCACACCCCAGGACACCACTTCCTGGATGCTCATGTCCGGAGGACCCTTTGGGTGTTTTTCTTCTGTTTTGGTTTTATCACCCAGGACCTAGGTGTTCCTCTCTAAACAAACCATCTGCTTTCGCCTGCTCAGGACCCTGTGCATGTGGAATCGTGGCATGTGTTCTGTCGCTGCTGTCTGTCCGTCCTGGTTCTGTGATGGTCCGTCACGCCCGTGTCCCAGCATCTATGATCGAAGGGGTGTGCTCTCCCCAGAGAATCCCAGACGGTCTCCCGAAATGGTCCGACTCACACTCTCGGCCCAGCGCAGAGGGACCCGTCGCCCTGCCACCCAACAGCACTAGCAGCCTTTTGAATTCTTGCTGGTGTGGAGGGTGTTTCCCCTGTGGTCTTACTTGGCCCTTTCTCAGCTTTCTGAAGAGCTCATGGCATGAGCTCGCGGGGCCACCTGCGGTCCTCGGTCTCAGTTTTAACGAGAAAAGGTCCGTGGGGGCTAACGCAAGGTAGAGTTGGGGGGAGGTTTTGACAGGAATTCAGAAAACCTGAGTTTGGATCCCTTTTCCTTGTTTCCAGGACCATGAGGTCAAAGAGGGGAAAGGCTGTAAATCATGGAGAATGACCCTTTGGAACAGCCCATGGATAGCATTGTCCTGCCGTCAAAATTCTCAATGCTCAGTCTTCGTTTTTTGTAGTTCTCGTATCTCCGAACTACGCCTTGTGGGCATTACCGATGCTTATGAGATAAACAAAATACGAGTAGTCCACGTTCTGCATTATAAGACAGCTTCCTATCCGATAGGCCGAATTCCCCTCCCCTATGAAAATAGGTTTTACCTTTTCTGGGTGGTGGTTTTTTATTTTGATGGCAAGCAGCAGGCCTTAATAGGCTGTTGGACTGTGAAGACGGGTTCACGCCTGGGGTGCTGGTGGCTTGGGTTGGGAGGAGGGAGCTGTTTGCAAGCCGCAGACGGTTTCAGAAGCGGCCATGCTGCGCAGGGTCTGGGCGTGTCGATCCACCAGCACCAGCTGTGGGAGCAGTGGGCTGTGCAAGGAACCCACCCATCGTGCATGGCCAAGCGTGACCCCACAAGAACTTTATTCTTATTTTTAAAGATTCTACTTATTTATTTGTCAGAGAGAGAGCACGCACATGCACACAAGCAGGGGGAGCAGCAGGCAGAGGGAGAAGGAGGCTCCCCGCTGAGCGGGGAGCCCGGTGCGGGGCTCGATCCCAGGACCCCGAGATCATGACCAGAGCCGAAGGCAGAGGCTTCACCCACTGAGCCTCCGAGGTGCCCCAGGAAATTTATTCTTAAAACAGTTCCCGTCCCACAGGACCCAGCACAGCCCTCAGTGTCAGGCGGCCTTTGGAGATGGATCCACAGGCAGGGACAGCACGAACACATCTGGGGGGTGTGACCTCCTGCCACGCGGAGGACGCATCAGACATCCCCCAAACATGGAAATTCCATGCAGCTTGGCACTTCTGAGCCCTCTCCAAAATGCGGTGCATCGGGGCCCACGCTAGACGTCTGGGCCTCTCCGTTTCCTCGGGGCCAGAAAGGCTTTCGGGAAGCCTCCTGCCTCACCGGCTCCCAGAGCTCCCGATTCTGAGGGCTTGAGTTGCTACAGGGAGAGTTGGGGGAGATATAAGGAGCTGCACCGGGGGAGGGGCTTGTGGCCAGGTCTTGCTTTGCAGTCCCCACCGCCTGGATCTGCCCCTCCAAAATCCCACAGGCCCACTCCTCCCCGTGGGGCAGCGGGCAAGCAGTCGGCTCGCTATTGGTCTCTGAAGTCCTGTTCACAGGGCAGGGCGTGGAGAGCCCACGGGGGCAGGGAAGCAGAGCCTGGGGGTCAGCACGGCCCAGGGCAACCCTGTCCTCCAGGCAACGGGACAGTGTAAGTGGATGCAGTCGGGCCCCGGGGAGCAGGGCTGCGGTCTGTGGTCCACCTGTGGTCTGGAATTCCCTGAGTAAAGTGCTTACCAAACACCCCCACACCACACCCTGGCAGCCGGTGGAGCGGCAGCGGCTGGGACTGGGACCTCGGGGAAGAGAGGTGAGTGCAGAGACTGTCCCTGTGCCGAGGGTCCCCTGTGCTGGTGGCCTGACCGTGCAGCCTCTCCGGGTGAGCTGAGTCTGGGCTCCCCCGCTGTCCACCCAGGGGTCCCCCCCCCGGGCCGTGGCTGTGGCCCACCCGCCACACAGCATTTCCTGGTCATGAGCTGCCAGGGTCACCAAGCTGCTGGGGTCACCGAGCTGCCAGTTGGGCCTGTCGGGACACAGGGGCCGAGCCCCAGGGCCCAGGTCAGGAAGGCCGCTGCTGCCCATGGGGGTGTGAGCATGATGCGTGGTGTCCTCTCGCAGGATCAGGGACAGGAACGACAACGGGTCATACGCCCTGTGCGTGCTGCATGAGGGGAAAGTTCTTCACTACCGGATCGACAAGGACAAGACGGGCAAGCTCTCCATCCCCGACGGGAAGAAGTTCGACACACTCTGGCAGGTAGGGGCCTTCCGCGTGGAGGAGAAAGCCCACCCAGGTCCCTGCCTGATGCCCGCCCCGGCAGGGCCCCTTTCAGCCCTCAGGTGCCCTGAAGCCAGCCCCAGGCGGGGACATGGACAGGGCGGGACGGCAGGGGCAGGGGGCCGAGGCTCCAGAAGGTCCGGGGCCGCTCAGCTGTCTGCACCCCGGAGGTGTCTGGGGACAACGGCACTGGCAGGTGCACAGACGGCCCTGCAGGGGGGACGGGGAACACTTCTGTCTGCCTTCCAAACTGAACACCAAGGGTCCGGTGCCTCGGCCATCACGGAAGGAATCTCCGTGAAATTAAGGCGGCGTAGAAAGCGGGTCGGCACTCGCTGCCCATGCTCAGGATGTTTCCAGCTCTGGTCTGAAAAGGGTTTATTCTTGACCCCACTGTCAGGAAACCCCCCAAGTGGCACCTAATCTGGGAGGCACGAAGGCAGGGAACAAATGCCGTCACACTCCCTCGCGGGCTGAGGTGGGCACACGCCGCTCACCTTCACGTGCGTCACAGCCACATGTGGCCGTGGCCGGGGCTGTGTGTTTGCACCCTCTCAGCCAAGCCCCTTTATACAGCTGGGCCCAGCAGGGCCGGTTTCCCGTTCCCCATAGCTGCGCTCGGTGGAATGCCTGATCTGGAGGAGTCCGTGAACCCCAAGCCCAGCCTGGCCCTTGCCTGTTTTTGTGTAGTTCTTCAAGAAGTGGGTTTTTTTTTTCCCCATTTCGAAGAGTCCTTTAAAAAAAAAGCAAAGGACTGTTTTACAGGATGTGCAAGCCTGAAATATTGCCATCCAGTCCCTTCTAGAATAAGTTTGCTCACCCCTGCCCGAGAGAGAATCCTGACAGGTATGCCCACCTCCGGGCACCCTCGTCCAGCACGTTGTCAGGAACCACCAGATATTGGAGTGACACTGGAGAGCTGGGCGGGATGCCTCCCTGCCTTAGGGACCCCGGTCCCCCAACCTCCCTGCCTTAGGGACCCCAGTCCCCCAGCCCGAGAGCAGCTCTTGCGTTCACCAGACCAGGTGGAGCTCCTGCATCAAGTGTGTTAGGGCTCGTCACAAGGCAGTGTCTGGTTAGCAGGTCGATCTCTCCACAATAAAACACAACTTAAGAAGACAATGGCTGCTGGAAGGATAAAATAGATTCATTCAGGGGCGCCTGCTGGCTCAGTATGTAGAGCACATGACTTTGATCTCAGGGTCTATTTGCCGTTCATTAATTTTCTAATGGGCCAATTGGACGCCGTGAGTCACAATTTTCTGGGAGCCGTTAGCCAAGGATGGCCGCATTCTGTCCACAGGCCTCCTTTCCCCGCTTCCCCCTGTCCCAGCTCTGCTGTCTTCTCCCCAGAAGTTTTGGGGTCAATGACTTGGTCCCTCCAAAGCCGTTTCCCACAACCCTCATAGAGCAGTAATTGATAATAATAGCATATTGTGATTCCTTGACCTGCCCCTCCTTCAAGAGAGGAAGTGCCTCAGGGGTAGGAAATGTGTCTTGTTCACCTTACTTTGCCTTCAGTCCTGTCTTGGGGCCCAGGCTGTTTGTTGAATGACTATATGAAGGAATAAGTGTTGACATGCTGAGTTTGTTTTTATAACATTACATAGGTGTAAGAAAAATAAATAAATGGAGCTTGGTACCAAAAACGGAAGGGAAGTGGGGGTGGATGGAGGGAGGGGTGGATCGAGGGTGCCGCAGTCCAGAGGGACGGTGGTGTGTGGGCTCCTGCCCAGGATGTGAGTGTTCTGAGGGGGAGGCATGAGGACGGACCAGGACGACCTCCCGAGGAAGCACATTTCGCTGTCCAGGGCTGTCCTCAAGTCACGTTTCAGGGATGCAGGGGGTGTCGGCTGTTCCAGGAAGGATTTCCCCATGTCCTGCCTCTGGTGTTTATGGCTCTGTCCTCCTCCCTTTCAGCTGGTGGAGCATTACTCTTACAAACCCGATGGACTGCTGAGAGTTCTCACAGTTCCGTGCCAGAAGATCGGCGGGCAGACAGGTGGGTCCCTGACCGGGAGCCTCAGTCCCTACGATCTCGACGGCGACCAGGCTGGCTTCACAGTCGGCCTGTCCCCGATCACGGTGGGGAGAGGGCTGCTTCTTCCCGGTTGGTAACAGATGAGGTCGGGTCACTCCAGCGAATCACACGTAGCCGATAGCTTTCACTGGAGAAAGCGGGTTGGTCCTACTTCGCGGGTGAGGACGCCGAGTGAAGGAGGAGACACTGCCTCTGGGCCAGGCTAGCGGATGGTCAGGCCAAGTGCCCTCCCCCCGGGGGGAGGAGGGAGCCGCTGGGTGCCGGGGACGTAGCCGTAACTGCCCATGCTCTTTCCACCCAGGAAACATCAACTTCGGAGCCCGCGCGCCCCTCCCGGGAGCCCATCCTGCCGTAAGTTAGGAGAGCGGGGCCCGCGGGGGAGCGGCGGGACGCTAGCGCCAGGAGAGGCGTGGGTGGGCCTGCGGGATTAGCCGCGACTCTTCCTGCCACACTTGATAACCTGGGGCTGGGGACGTCAGCCGGACTTGGCGGACTTCCAGTTCTGGGCCGGCCAGGTTCATTTCTTCGTAGGTTAGACCGGGACGCCCGTGTTAAATCGGAAATATGCCTCCTGGCGCCTTTGGGAAATGAGGGGCAGGATGCGGGAGACCGTGCACACGGTCTGCCGCCCAAGATGTCTCACTGAGCTTGTCCGCCCGGCTCTTTTGGTGAGATCATCGTTAGCAGAGCCTCGACCTTTCCTGAGAGCTGGCCTGGCAGTAGCTTAGTGGAGGCTTGGGTGGGGACCAGATGTTCAGCAGCATCAGCTGAGAGAAGCCTCTAGAAAGGCCAGAACGCAGCTCTCCCTCCGCATCCCTAGGAGGTGAGTGTGACCGGTCCCCGCATCTCCACGTGGGCTTGCCCAGCACACGCCCCTGTGGGGAGAATCCTGCCTCCCTGCCTGCTCCCGACTCTTCCAAGCAGACACACAGGTTTAAACCCAGAGGAGGAATCGGGTCCTGCTCCTTTTCGGGGATCTCGGTGTGGACCTTCAGTGTCCTTTAATACCATCTCTAAAGCATAAACATCCCCTCCCATGAGCTGTGTGCATCACGTCCCCCTTTTTGCCTGTTAATCCTTAAAAAACCACCGGCAGAAAGCGGAACGTCCGTCCTGCCCACAGTAAGGATGGTTGACCGCCCCCGGGCTGCACCCATAGAGAGGCAGGGAGGCTCTCGGGGGCAGCCCCTGTCCCCAGATTGGCAGGGAGGGATGGAATTTGCTAAAATACCAGACAACGTCAGCACCAACGCCTAAAATGGAGCCCCTGAGCGGAGCCACGCATCACCCAGTAGCTTCAAGAAGTTAGATATCTCCGAAAATCATTTATCGTCTGCATGTCAACGCAGACAGGAAAAATGCGCCTGCCCTACGTGTCCAAATCAAGGAATTCCCACAAACCACGGGACCATCCCCGGGGATGTAATAACACAGTTGGGCACTTACTTCTGGTTTCTGTAGAATGATCTGTCTCATTCAAGATGTAGTATCTATAGGAGACGGGGCTGCTGAACGGGACAGCCCTGATTCTAGAGCTTCCCATGGGAAATATGAACCAAGGTATTTTTCCAGATCCTTCCGCTCAGGGGGCGGGCTTTCCCTGAAACCTCCCCCATGACCAGGTGCGGCTGGCAGCATCCCTGCGGGGCATGGAAGGGGTTGGTGGTGTGGACACAAAGCCAGACGGAATAGCATGTCGTGTGTTTGCTTTCTGAAACACTGACTCTCCCCTCTTTGCCGTTATGGTTTCTAGACGTGGTCGGCGGGTGGAATAATTTCCAGAATCAAATCGTACTCCTTCCCCAAGCCCGGCCACAGAAAGGTGCTGACGTGTCCCCTGCTTGCTACCCCCCGACGTGGCAGGACGGAGCCACACGCTCCTTCCCCGCTGCCCTCCGTGTGCGCTGCGCCCCCCGTCCCGCTGCTGTGCGCTCCCGCCTGCCCTGTGTGGGTCCCAGCCCTGCCGCCCTGTGCGCCCCTGCGAGCGTGCCCTCCCCGCTCTGTGTGCGCTTGAACGTCCCGCGGTCGGCACGGGAGGGGGAGCCTCGTGTCCAGAACCTTCTCCGAGCAAGCCGAGGGATCTGTTGCCGAAATTGCGAGCTGCAGAGCACGGTGGTCGATTGTGTCAAGTATGTGCTGATGGAAGAAGGGGGGCTGGGGGTTTGTGGGGGCCGGACAGGGAGCGTCTCGGGCTGTTTATGGCGTGGCTCCCCAGGGCCACGAGCCCTGCATTGAGGCTGTAGAACACGTAGAAAGTCAAGTCTGGAATTCAAGGGTTAGAAGTTCCTGTTTCTTCATGAGGCAGTTCAGTTCGACCTGGGGTGTATTTTGGGGTTTGGTTGCGTGATTGAATTACGAGGGAAAAAGCGAAGGTGTTTTTTTTAATTGATTTTTATTTATAATGAATCATCTCCATATATGTGTGGGTGTATGACTTATTTTTGTTTTCTTTGTATTTTTGCATTGGTGGTAGAAAGTTGATTCTTTTGTTAAAAAATATTTCCATTTTCTTACCAATTGTTTTTTTTTTTCAAACATTTTAACCATAAAGGTGGGTATCGACTCGTGATGCAAGTTGCTGAAAGTACTTGCTAGAAACAATGGAAATAAAAAAGCATAAAATCTGAGGTTTTGTTTAGGGAGAATTTTCCAGGTGGGCAGTCAGACTCCCAGGTGCTCCCAGTCCTGCTGACGATAGAGAAGAGAGTTGCGTGCGATGGTCGGGGAACAAGTTCTCTGATAAACGGAACAGAGTGGCTGTCTGTCTGAACATCACGTGGCCAGGTGCTGTGGACCAGCCCACGGAGCCTCAGCTAGGATGTGGCAGTGTTTTGTGGGAGCTGCAGTCAGGGCCGCCCATACCAGGGCAGGTGTGTTAGGAGACGGTGACCAGGTTGCTAAGGGGACACATTCTCTGTGTCCCGGTGCCTCTTTGTCCCACCACTTGGTGTTGGCCAGAAACCACCAGACCCAGCAGGTGACTGAGGCTGTGGCGTGGAAAAGGTCGGCATCCACCAATGCAGAACCCTCCGTCCAGCTGCCCCCCTTTCCGACCCACGTGGCCTGGGACCCCCTGTGGGCATGTGTCCCTTCTCTTGGGAGAGACATCGCATGGGCCCGTAGCCCAGCAGGAAATAGCCACAGTGATACAAAGCATCTTCTGATTCAGGGAGCTTTCCAATCCAGAGGCCTCTTTTTGAGGCCATAATCACGGACTGAGCTCCAGCTAGCGACTGCACTGCCATGGTTTGGTGGTCAAACACAGGATGAGCATTTGGCCAAACGCGGCATTGACAGCCCTTCAGGGAACAGCTCAGGGCGGGACACGTGGCCTCCATGGTGCTTGTAACCCCTTACTTGCCAGCTCCCGTGGCCTCTCCACGCCCAGGGCCTGCATGGCAGCCGTGGAGGAAGCCCTGTGGATGCGGGCCACGCCACTGGTTGCCACTGCTCGTTCACTCGTTATTCCCTTTATGATGTGCCGACACACAGCCCCCGCCCACGTGCGGGCCCAGAGATGGGCGGTCTCACTAGGCACGGACCACATACCGTGTGTGGCTTAGTTCTGTGGCTCTCAGTGCAGTGTTCCGGGATCCTTTGAGGAAGTGTGACCACTTAGAGATTAGTGTGTAAAACACACACACACTTATCTAAGTACATGTATGCCACATGTACATGTTTAGAAACACACACACGTCTACATGCGTGTACCCACACACACATGTACAGGTGTAGCACAAGGACTGGCCTTACACAGTGAGAGGGGCTGACTAGGCAAAACCCGTATCTGCAGGGCAGACCATCAGGAAATGGGTTCTCGACTGATTAAGCCAGGCCCACCCAGTGTAATCTCACGAATTTAAGTCAGCTAATTAGGGATTTCAGTTATATCTACAGAATCCCTCCACAGCAGTAGCAAAATGACACTTTGATCTAATCACGGAGGACTGGAGCTCAACTAGCCACACAGACCCATCAAAAAGTCAGGAAACAGTAACCCAGCCTGGTGAGGAGATGAGACTCACAGCTAAGTAGGTTGAAGCCAGCTTGTTTCATTTGCAGCAACTAAGGAAATACCCAGAAAAGATACAGTAGGTCTTTGCACCAAAGGAGAGCATGTGTCTGTATCTTACACTATCGAAATATCAGTAAGACCACCTGAGATATCAGTAAGACTACCTGAAAATAAAGACATGTCATCAAAGGAAATAATAAACTGGGAATCAATATGGGTCATGATACACAGGCAAGGTTAAGATCTTTAATATATAAAGAAATTCTGTAAGTCAGTAAAAGTTTGAACTAGCAGGCACATGGCAAAGGATGTCAGGAGGTAGTTTGTAGTAAAGCAGATATAGTACCTACTTAGGAAAACATAAATGTAGAAAAGGCTGTTCTGTTTCATAATAAGAGAAGTGCAAGTGAAAACTAGGTGCTCTGTTAAGTTCACCTGTGAAATGGACCCACGTAAAAACGGACAGGATGTGCAGTGAGGGTGTGGTGAGTAAGCCCTCCCACACTCGGTTGGAGAAGTGCGAGATGATGAGGCCTTCAAAGAAGGCAAGTTCACAACATCCATCCAAAATAAAACCACATAGGGTTTCTTACTTGCAATTTTGTTTCTAGGTATGTATTATTCTTCCCTCTAGGTGTAACTATGTGTCCATGAAAGTATTTATTCCAGCACAGTGTGACTGACAAAGTCTGAAACAAACTAGGAGTCTGGCATTGGGAAATAAACCAGTTACAGTAAAAGTCATAGGGTGAGAGGCAGCTGAGGTCTAGAATTACTTCCAAAATCCAGTGTAAATTACAAACAAGGGATATGTGCTGATAGAATGTAAAATATTCTGGAAGAAATACAGAAACACAGCAGTGGAAGTAGTTACTGTGGGAGCACAAAATAGGGGTGTCAAGGAGACTCACGTTCCACCATAAACCCCGTGTGCCTTTGTAAATTCATACCTCTCGAATTTAATCAATTTTTTTAAAAAGAGAATTAAATATTAGAAAGTAATGAATCTGATAAAGACTGTGAAAATACTTTTCTGGCAAAAAAAAAGTCTCTTGCCTATTTAAATTTAAATTTATAACAATTTGGAAATAGGAATTGAATTTGCATAGATGCCAAAAATATCAATAAAGAAGGATTGGGTGATTTAAGTTATGGATTAAATGTATTTTAATTGCTCATCAGAAATATTTCTAGAAGAGCTGGTGTTTATGTTTTCGCAAATAGAGGAAGAATTTCCTATTAATTAGGCAGTCATGGGAAAGGACTTACAGGAATTATGTCAGATATCCCATCTGTATAGATAAGGTGCACATGACTTTCTTGAGTTTGTTAATTTGATCGGTATACATCGTTTTTTAATTTTTTTTAATAATTCCAGCCCCAAAGGGACATGTCAGAACTTGAATTAATTCAGGCATGTGGGTAGTTACTGAAAAGTATGCTTTGACTTGAAGAGGACTGTTAATTAGATATTAGAGATTCCATAATAAAAACTTAAGAACAGGTCTAATTTAAATTTTTTCCTTAGAGACTGAGAATACTTTCGTCCTAAAAAATGCAAATGAAGTTAAGTAAGTACAAACGTAGATATGATTCATCCTCCTCCCTGTCCTCCATAATAAAAACTCAAGGGACGGGTCTGTTTTAAAGTTTCCTTCGATATTAGGGACACTTGGCCGTTAAAAATATAAAGATGAAACTCACCGACGAGTATCGGTATGACTGACCCTCTCCCCTCCCCGCCAGAAAGGCTGGACGTCCTTAAACGAGTAAGTCCTTCCCGCACCTAGAACCAAAGTATTTGTCTTGATCCTTTAGGCAAAGCCTGTGCTTTGTGAACTGGCTGAGTGTGACAACAGCGTCCTCACGGGCCGGCTTCCAGCTCCCCACAACACGACGCAGCCGTCCCCTGTGGCTCCAAGGTGGACGCGCGTTCAGACCCTCTGCTCACGCTTTATTCCAGCACCTGCCCTGGGGCCTGCACCCCTGAAAGGCTCTGTTTGAATCCGCAGTTCGCTAGGGTTGAGCTGGAAGAGCCAAAGAGGGAAACGGCTGTGACGTCCCCCCGGCAGGCGGTCACGGCGAGGTGCCGGGACAGACCCTGGAGAAGACGCGTTGCCCTGGGGTTATCAGGGGCCACCCCACAGCCCTCCGCTCCTGCGGTCAGGAGGATGGATGGTGGAGGTCAGGGGTTGGTTTGCGGGCACCCGAAGCAGACGTGGTCACACGGCCCGGGAGGGACTGCCCTGGGCTGTGGGGTCTTGTTTCCCTCAGGACCACGGCTGCTCCCGCAGAGACCGGAGCCGTGCCCGCCACAGCAGCCTGCGTTCCGAAGCCTGCGGGCTTTCTTTGTCACCGCGTCTGTGGTCCTCTTTCCTAATGCCATGCCTGATCGGGAGAGGTCTGTCCGGAAGCCTAAACGTGAAGGTCTAGGAATGGACGTTAGGACACAGCGTGATGCTCCCAGGTCACCGGGAGAGCAATGCACGTGCACCGCGTGCACTTCTGCCCCCAGAGGATCGCGGGCCAACACATTTCGGTCTGCAGCTAAGCCTGGCCGGCAAGAGGTCAGGAATCATAATTTAAGACCTAATTTGGTCTAATTTTTACTACTGCAGAGCGACCAGTTTTTAACCTCCTTTCATAAAACTTAACAAGCAAACGTGGTCCTTGGAGGGCGAACACGAAGGTAGCTAGTGCCACCTAGTGGTGGCCGGCAGGGTGACTGCACCGGCTCACACTCCAGGACACCTGCTCTACGTGGGACCAAGGTGATGGTATTGATTAGGGCAGAGAAGAATCACCGGATGCAAAGCGGAAAGAACGATGACCGATGGTAGAATGGGCCAGCAATGTGCTTTTCACTAAGTTCTAATGCGAATCTGTACATTTATAATTTAGCATTGTTCTCTACAAAGTCTTTGAATTCTTTCTGACCGAGCATTCGATCCCCGAGGGTGCTGGGTGTCCTACTCAGCGGCACACCCATCAGACACTGCAGGGAAGATGGGGCTGTGTGTTGTGACTTGACCTTCATCATCTCCTCACACCGCCCCGGTAACCGACACGACAGAAAATGTCCCACTTCTTCGGAAGAACATTCTCTCGAGGGCCGTGCCAACCTCTGCCCCAGGGAGGTGACCCAGGGCCCGGGCAGGGGGCGGATGCAGTGACTGAGGGACTCGCGGGGCTCGGCGAGGCTGGCAAGGCTAGGAATGGCCCGGGGCCTGCGTCCCCTTCTGCCCACCCGAGTGGGCCTGGGCTCGGTGTGTCCAAGACCACCAGCTCTCCCTCACTCTTGATGCCCTGGCGTCCTTGTCCTGCATTTGTACACTTGTCCCTCTGCTTTAGAATCTCCCCCACAGGCTTTGTTGTTGTTGTTGTTGTTGTTGTTGTTTAATTGAATACTGTTTCCACTCTGGAGTTCGACTGCAGCTGAGCCCAGGGCTAATGGGAGGCCTGGGGTCCCCAGTCTCTCTGAGGACAGTTCTGTCGAGACAGGGTGGTTATGGCCTAGACAAGAAGTGGACCCACAGGACGCCAGTCGCCTGCAATCTCAGGCCGGTTCTTAACAGAGGGGGTCGTCACTGGGTCGTCACTGGGATTACCCACGCCTGTTTCCCTCCGTTGGTGTAAGGCTGGAGAGAGCTCCCGGCTCCAAGACACTGTCTCCATTCGTTCATTCACGATCATTCATTCAGTCACTCGCCGGTGTGTTTGGCACGATTTTATCGCGGTCCAGCGGTGGGCAAGGCAAAGGTCAGACGCAGGGAGGGCGCGACTGTGCCCCGGGCCTTACGCGGTTTTTGCTCGTGGTGCGTCCCAGCCCCTCGGTGGAGCGTGGGAGGAATGTGGCAGGAAGGCGGCGAGAGGCGGAGAGCGCGGAGCGAGCGCACCGGGAGAGCGGGCGTCCCGCGGCCCCGCCCCGGGGTCGTTGTGCCGGGAGCAGCCGCTCGGTGGCGCTCCGCAGACAGGTGAAGACGGAGGTCCAGGTTTTGGAGATGGTGGTGGCCGTGGTGCCCTGTGACCCTATCACTGTTCTTCTGGTTCCCGGGCCTGGGACGTCAGGCAGGCAGACAGGGACCCCGTGTGTGCCGCGAGTTAGGTCACATGTGCAGGGAAGCTTGGTGTCTCTGTGTCTTCACGTTCCTCCAAACCCTGGCGGTATCTCGTGGCTTCCTGGCCAGTGCTTGGGCCCTGCTCCGGGAAACGGCGGGCTGGCCCTTCCGGTCAACTATACAAAACTAACAAACACACCGGAGGTTTGAATTGTGATTCTTTTTCACAAACCAAGTGTAGTAGCAACACCCTTGTTTTAAGAGGAGGGGGCGAAGGCAGGCTGGGAAGACTCAAGACAGAGACTTCCAAAAGTGAAAGATTATAGGTTGTAAGGACGTGAGGAGAACATCCTTCCCCAACTCCGTCACCTCATCATGCAAATGGCTGTAAATCAGATCAGTCATCAGGAAGGTCGCCGCCCTCTGGCATCCCATCCATGGAGCTAGATCTCCACAGAAGTTCAAGTTCAGGCGGAAACCAGGACCACATAGACATTCTGGAGTCGGGATGGGGGAAGCAGCGGTGGATCCTCCGTGTTTTTTTTACATAACTTCATATGACATTAAATTGAGCAGAGAGTTGACGGAGGGAGAATAAGTCCAGGGGTCATGTGTAGGCAGACATGGGGTTTGAAAGGGTCTGTGACCAGGGCCTCTCTGAGACCTGGCAGCCCCTTGAACCACAGGGGCCTGAGCTCCGTCTCGCCCCCACAGGGTCCAAGCAGTCGCCCGAAGAAGGAGATAAGCCATGGTGGCTTTTTTTGTCTCTGTCCCTGACGCTTTCCTTTGTCTTCCCCGCATACGTCGTAATGTGATTATTTGAAAACAAAAGTCATTGTGCAGATCAGTTCAGTGGTGTGTCCAGGAAGCCAAGTGACCCGCTGTCCTCTGTGTGCTTCAGGCCTCCTCGTCCGCAGGGAGCCGGCCCGAGAGCTCCGTGACCTTCAATCCTTACGAGCCAGACCGGGGGCCCTGGGCCACGGACAGAGGTGAGACACACGCGGTTCCGTCCCAGGCCATTTGCCGCATAGCAGTGCCGCCTGGAGCGGGCTCGCTAACTCAGCCCCACACAGAGGCTTGGCAGGTGCGTGGTGGGCGCCGCTGCTCGCGGGGACAGGAGGCAGAGGTCCCCTGTGCGTGCGCCACGGTGCCCATGTGCCGGACGTGGTCTTTGAGGCCTCCATCTTCACCTCTGGCATGAAAGACCCCTTTCTGGGCACATCCGTGCAAGAACGGGGGTGAGTCCCCTGGGGATGGGGGCGTTTTTGCTAACCCCCCAACACACTGGGAGAGACTGTACCCTGAGCGCTCCCTGGCATCACAGCCGTCAGGGGAGACCAAGGTCTGGAAAGGCGAGGTGCGACCGTAGGAGGCAGGAGCGAGTGATACTGGGATTTTCAGCAGGGACCCAGCCCCGGGTCTCCTGTTGCTTGACTGCACTGCAGATGCCCAGAGAGAAGCTATGCCCATGGACACCGAGGTGTACGAGAGCCCCTACGCGGACCCCGAGGAGATCCGGCCCAAGGAGGTCTACCTGGACCGCAAGCTGCTGACCCTGGAGGACAGTGAGCTGGGCTCCGGCAACTTCGGGACCGTGAAGAAGGGCTACTACCAGATGAAAAAGTAAGTCACGGCGATGCCTCCGCACGGCTCGCCCTCCCACAAGCTGACGCTCTAGAAACCGCCACACTACACGCATCCCCGGCGTTCGGTCCCAAATACAGAATCTAACCCAGCAGGGCCGGATCCTTCTTCGTGAACGGTGTGTGGTTCTCCCTTCCCTGTGCGGCTACGGCAAAAGCATTCCTTGTGTATGTTAACTCTGCATATGCTGGTGACGTAGCCCACTCGTGGGAGGTGTGCCTCTTAGAGCATTAGAAAGTAGGAACCCGCGAAACATCGTAAAATGAGAACATCCTCTTGTTACCACCTGTAACCAACAGTAGTGTCTTTCTTACTTTCGGGTCTTTTTAAGCATACGTATAGGCAGGTACTATTCAGTTAAATTTTAGTTAAATTACTCAGTGGCAACAACACAGCATTTTTAAGTATTTTATTTTATTTTTCAAATCATTTCTTTTACCCAGAAAATTCCTGATTACAGACATCATCAGTGCAGTTGTTTATCTGCTTTTTCCTATAATTTCAGATAATAATCCATACTGTACAATAGCTAGAATTCCCAGGTCGCTGGAATTTCTGTACCTCATTTGCTCTGTAGAAGGTGTCCCAAAGAGTGTCCAGGACAAAGGTCAGACAGTGTAGTCCTGCAAAACAGACCCCGTCTCTGAGTGTGTATGTTTGAATTAGTACATTACTGATGCAAATAGAGTTGGGCTTAGTTGTTTGATGTTATTTTGAATTATGACATTTTATAGATGTTTTATCTTGAGTGGGTGAATTTACATGACTCAAGTGCCAAGAACGTAGGCAAAACATGCACAGAAACTCGTGCTTGCCGTTCCGTTTTTCTGGATGCGTGTCATTGACTGATAGGCTCGTTTGAAAATCCATGCAGGCACATCACAGTCACTTGTGAAATGAATATAAATTACTCTGTATTAAAGCACGAAATTTCTTCAACTAGTTCGTGACACTTAAATTCCTCACTTAATTAAATACATGTATTAAAGGAGACATAACTACGGATATGTAATGTCAACTGGAGGGTTTGGGGAGAGGAGAGATGTTTCTGTTACTATTTACTCGAGTGCTCGTTTTCTTCTGCTAAGATGACCTTATGGTTTTTCTCCTTTCTTGCGTTGATGTGGTGAAGGCCACTGACTCTTAGATGTTAAAGCCACCGAGACTTCCTGGGATCACCCCCTCTTGCTCATGAATCAGAATTCATCCTTTTTCATAAATCACTGAACTGAATTTGCTAATACTTCTCTTAGAATATTTGCATTTATGTTCACGAGCGATACCAGTAAATGATTTTCTCGGGAGTTTCTTTGTCCAGTTTTGGCATCAGGGTATACCGCCGGCCTCGAAATAACTTGGGAGGTTTCCCTCCTCTTCTCTTCTGTGGAAGAGATGGCGGGTGTTTTCTCTTCCTTCACTGCTGCGAAGGATCACGAGGATTCTCTTGTTCGCTTTGGCCCCTGCCTCGCGCCGTACACGGAGCAGTTCCCGGCGGACGGTAGACGCAGCTGTGGAAAGGCGCCGCGACGCCCTGACCAGAGAAGCGCAGGGCAGCACTGCACGACAGCAGGAGGGGCAGGGAGGCTCCGGGGCGCTCGCGCAGGACCTACAGGTTGCAGTCAGTGTGGAAACACTTATTAAACGTTACACCGACGTGGTCTGGGTTTTTGTGAACGGATGTTAGATTTACTCCACCGTTCTCTTATTTTACCGTCGTATTGGACGGTTTTGCTTTAATTCCCCCCTTTCGGAGTTCAGCAAAGGAGATGTACTTCCTGTGGGGAGGGGGGAATCCCATCCCAGAGAAATGCCCTTTTTCAGATCACGCAGAGTGAACGTCATTCATTTGTTTACGTCCCGCTCTATCCGAAAACTTTTAGGAGGTCAGACAGGATCTACGGGATGCTTTTATGAGCAAGTGGAAATCGGTGTGGTTTTTTTTGCAAACTTGTTGCAGCTTGCTTAAAATTATCAGTGCTCCATTTTAAAAGGTGTTTCGTAAACCACGAGCTTTAACAGTGTAGCCTTTCTAGTTCTGCGTCCAGAGATTCGCTCTGGCATGTATCGAAGGAACGTTCTACTCACGCACGTTACAGATGGTCGGAGACAGACCCGCAGAGGTTGCAGGCATCCGTGCGTGTCCGGTTTCTGAGGTTTATTTGAGAATGATTTGCGTGTCCTGTCCTGCTGAGGCTGTGCTTGGCCGGGCGTCTTCCAGCAACTCCTCACGATCTGTAGCTAACGCGGGGTCGCCCTGTCTACAAGGTGGGACAACAGGGCCGCGGACGCCTCGATACCCGGTTTCCGGCGCGGCAGTTATGCTTCCTGGAAGGTGATTCCATAGAACGTAGCCGCTCCGAAAAGTTCCTTATGCGCTCTGGTTTCTTCCGCAGAGTCGTGAAGACGGTGGCCGTGAAGATTCTGAAGAACGAGGCTAACGATCCCGCCCTTAAGGACGAGTTGTTGGCGGAAGCGAACGTCATGCAGCAGCTGGATAACCCGTACATCGTGCGCATGATCGGGATATGCGAGGCCGAGTCCTGGATGCTGGTCATGGAGATGGCCGAGCTCGGTCCGCTCAACAAATACTTACAGCAGAACAGGTACCTCGAGGTCCCCGGCAGCTGACGCGGTGCCGGGCAGGGCCCGCCTGCCCGGTGTACGTCATCGCCTGAGGGCTCTGCTGGCCCCACGCTCGGGACCGTCAGGGAGGAGGGGAGAGAGCCGTAGTCTCTGCGTCAGATGCTCCTGTCGCTCCTCGGCGCTCAGGGCTGCAGCCTAACGATTTGGTCCTCGTTCTCCTTCCCTCGCTCTGTGCGGCCCAGCGAGAGGACCAGCCTCAGAACACCTTGGCAACCGGTCTCTGCTCACTCGGCAGAGCATGCCCTACCTAGGCACAGAAATGTGAAAACAAACATTTTAAGAGAAGGTACCAGTGATTGACGTCTTACGCGTCCGGCCGAGCTCTGCATCCCCATGAGTAACGCTGAACACTTCTGCTGCCGCTGACCGGCTGCCGCCGCGGGTGGGGGCTGACGCTGTGCTGGTCCGAAGCCGCTGCTGAGGCAGACGGGCTCCCATGGAATAAGTCATAACCGGGGCCTCTGGTTACGTTGTCCCGTGTGATACGTTACACGTGGGCTCTGCTTTGATGGTGTCTCTAATCAGCACGGGAGGAAGGTGCCATTACCCCACTTTGTGGGTGACAAACAGAATCAGACTTGGTTTTGTTCCCTGTCCAGTGTGGGAACGAGGATTCCAAGCAAAGCCTGGCCTGTCCACCCCAGTCGCAGCGCACCTTGAACGTCCTGGTTGTGCAAGACCAGGCTCACGGGGCTCGGTGGGGAGCGGCTGTAAGTGAACAAGGGCGTCTGCCGCCACCTGCCGCTCTTAGGAAGAGTAGGAAATGAGGGGATCCCTCCGCCTGCATGAAGAGCCCGGGGGCCGTCCCCGGTGCACTGTTGTCCGCCGTCACTAATGACCCGTGTGTGACTTTCAGGCACGTCAAGGACAAGAACATCATAGAACTGGTTCACCAGGTTTCTATGGGGATGAAGTACTTGGAGGAGTGCAACTTTGTGCACAGGGATCTGGCGGCAAGAAACGTACTGCTGGTGACGCAACATTATGCCAAGATCAGTGATTTCGGACTGTCCAAAGCACTCCGCGCTGACGAAAACTACTATAAGGTAGGAATGACTTCGCCCGTATGGTGAGAATCTGAAATGCAAGCGTTTGTGTCCTTTATTTGATTATGTGAGGGTTTCAGGAAGCAACTTGCCTATTTAAGAAATGTTCTTGCTAAGCTTTGATTGTATTGTTTTAAAAAATGGAAATACTCATATATCACAACTTGACTTTATTCCAAATAGTATCTTCCAAACTCTATTCCTGAGAACAAAAAGGAATCAAGGTATTAATTGATAACTCATTACAAAACAAAACAACATAGAATTGCTTCCTTAACTTACTTTGGGAAAATGTGTTGGACAGGTTGATTCTTGTAGAATTTCCCAGAGCCCGTCCCTGACCCCCCAGATGAACTGATAGCAACTCGAGGAAGGGAGACACACAAGAAACCCTCATGTGAACTCAGTCACCCTAGGGATGTACAGTCTAGGCTGATCAACTGGAAAACGTAACGGAAGTGGAACCCAGATAGTGAAAGACCAGCCAAAACCAGATCTCCAACTCTCCGGGCTCCTGGGGGTGTTCAGCGTTCTTGGAAACAGACAGCGCATCCTGGAGCTCGCACTTGAGGATGGCACGGTGGGGACCTCGGGGTTGCCCTGAGCTCCACACCCTGGAGCGCCTGGTCCCCCACCCACCCACTGGCTTCTCTCTGGCACGGCCGCCCTGCAGGTGTCAGGTGGGCACAGCGCGTCTTGGTCAACTAGGGGTCGGCATAAAGGATAGGCAGCAGGAGCGGAGCTGCCCCACAGAAGCTGGTGCCAGAGCAGAGCCCCTTCAGAGAAGAGCCACCGTTCGAAAAGCACTGAGTGAGCCCTTTACGGACACAGCTGGAAAGTGACACGGAGGAAGCAGCGGCCCAGAGGGACAGCCCCACGCACACACCAGAGAAAAGCAGGCCTCCCATCAGAGGCACTTTGGAATATAAGTTTCGTTGTGATGATTAAAGGGAGAAGAAAATCGAGACTGAGACTAGGACTCGAGGAGGATGCGGGGAAGTTGAGATAACAAATCGTCCCCAAACTTAGTGTGTTAACACAATACCAAGTGTGAATTGACGCGCAGTTCCGCGCTGGGGTGGGGCGTGGGGGTTGGCGCGTCTCTGCTGCTCACGGTGCCTCAGGGGCGGTCACAGGCAGGCAGGAGGATCGGCTCCCATTCTGCTCACTTGCACGGCTAGAGCCTGATCTCCTGTGGGCTGGGGTCCAGGATCTCTGCTGGGGCGTACCAGGCAACCTAGCTCCCCTGCACATGGCCTCTCCGTGTGGCCTAGGCTTGCTCACAGCATGGCAGCTGGGTCCTGAGGGCAGGTGACTCAGGAGGCAGGAAGAGAGGCTGCCGGGCTCCTAAGGTCAGAGCCCGTGAGCTGGCTCAGAGTCACACCCACCTCCTGCTATAGGACACGGCACGAAGGACCCACAGCGTGGCACCCCCCAAGAGATCAGCAAAGCTGGGACACCTAGAGACAGCTAGGAACCAGGAGGAACGCCGGGGCTGCCACTGTCGGCCCCATGGTGGGAGCCACCATGGTTCCCAGTGACCTCCTGTGCAGAGGCCCCCTGGCAGCCTTCGCCGCTGAGGACCTGTGGCTGTTGTGGACGCCCCCAGCTTCCGTCACCGAGCATCCTGCTATGGACCCCCGTGGACTGTACCACAGGGAACCCCAGAGGTGTTCAGTGCTGAGAAAACCACCAAAAGCACAGTCTTTGCAGACTCTCTGCCTATTGCATTTTATAGGTTTTCACCACAGATATTTCCACGCTCACAGAGAGCGGAGTCCTGAGTCCCTCCCTGCTCCCCATCCCCCACTTCCTAGAACCCAGGACAGCAGCCAGCTATGCAGAACACCAGCCCAGACACCCACAGCTGACCTCCACCCCCAGGCTCACCCTCGTTGCTCTCGACGGCCTCTGCACCCCTGCACGCTGCCAGCCCACCTCCCCTCGCTGCCCTCCCCGGCTGCGCATGTGCTGGAATGAGCCTGTGCAGCTGTGGGAGTGCACACGGACAGCCAACTCAAGGATCATGAGGAATCAGGGAAACTCAAGAGCATCACAGTAAACTGCCAGTAAGTGACCCCAAGGAGATGGAGATGCCTAACTGACAAGAAGTTCAAAAGAGTTCTTCTAAAAATGAGCAGAGAGCTGCACAGAACACAGATAAAGAATTTTTTTAAAAATCAGGAAAATGATACAAGAACAAAATGAGAAGTTCAACAAAGAGATGAACAACATAAAAAAAGAACCAAAAGAAATTTTGGAGCTAGAAAATACGATGATTGAACTGAAGAAGACCATGGAGAGTTTCGGCTGCAGACTAGACCAAGCACAAGGAAGCATCAGTGAACCCAAGGACAGGTCATTTGAAATGATCCCGTCAGAGGCGCACACAGAAAATGAGATGGGGAAAGAAAGCCTACAGGACCTATGGGACACCATTAAGAGAAAAAAGTCCCACATTATTGGATTCCCAGGAGGAGGAGAGAGGAAGAAAGGGGCAAAAACTTACTTTTAAGAAATAATGACTGAGAATTCCCAAATCTGGGGAGAGATTTGGACATCCAGATTCATGAAGCTCATTGGTCTCCAAACAAATTAAGTTCAAATGGATCTTCTGCAAAGATTATGCAGAAACCGTACAGGCCAGGAGGGGGTGGGAGGATGTATTCCAAGTGCTGAAAAGAAAGAATTGGCAAGGGTTACTTTCATGCATCAAAGTTGTCCTCTAGAAGTGAATAAGATGAAGACTTTTCTAGATAAACAGAAGTGGAGGGAGTTCATCACCACTAGACCTCACTTGGAAGAAAGCTGAAAGTTCTTCAGGCTGAAATGAAGGATAGAAGTTAGTAACGTGAAAATATGCAACACACTGGTAGAAGTAAGTATATGGTCAAATTCAAAATATCCCAATACCACAACACAGTGTTGTGTCGATCACTTAACTAGTAGAAAGATTAAAGGACAGGGGTATTAAAGATCCCTATTGTTACAACAATTTGTGGTGGATACATAGTATAAAAAGATATGAATTGTGACATCAAAACCGTAAAATGTGTTGGGAAAAAATGAAAGGGTAGAATTTTTGTATACAAAGTGAAGTTATCACCTTAAAACAAACTGTTATATTTACTAGATGTTTTATGTAAGCCTCAGGGTAATCAGAAAGCAAAAACCTACAGGAAGTACACACAAGATGGAAGAGATTCTAGGCATACTGTTTTGGAAAACCATCAAATCACAAACGAAGACATCAAGAGAGGAATAAAGGAAGAAAGGAACTACAAAGCAGCCAGAAAATAATAAGAGGGCATTTGTATTTTTTACCTATGAATAATTAATTGCAAATGGGTTAAATTCTCCAACCAAAAATACAGGGTGGCAGAAAATTTTTTTTAAAAGATTGACCCAAACTACATGCTGCCTGCAAGAGACTCACCTTAGCTTTAAGAACACACATGTTTGAAGATGAAGGGATAAAGATATTCCTTGAAAATGGAAACCAACTAGTAGCACAAGTAGCTACATTTATGTCAGATGAAACAGACTTTGGGTCAAAATCTGTAATAAGAAGCAAAGAACATCACTGTATTAATGATGGAGTCAATTCATTAAGAGAACTTAACAAATCTAAATATATATGTACCCAACGTTGGGGAGCTTTCTGAATATGACTGAGTAAACAGATAATGACACATCTGAAGGGAGAACTAACAATTATACAATAGCACTAAGGGTTTTCAGATCCCACTTTTAACTACGGAGAAGTTATCCAGACAGAAAATGGATAAAGAACATTGGACTCGAACTGTACTTTAGGCCAAACGCACCTTAACAGAACTCGCAGGTGAATTCTACCACTGACAGGAGAATTAACACCAGTCCTTCTCAGGCTCTTCCAAAAAATGGAAGAAGAGGAAATATGCTCAAACACATTTTATAAAGCCAGCATCACTCTGATCCCAAGGCCAGATAAGGATAGTATCACAAAAGAAAACTATAGGCCAAAACCCCTGACGAACATACATGCAGAAATTCTCGATAAAATGCTAGCAAACGAGGGGTGCCTGGGTGGCTCAGTCATTAATCATCTGCCTTCGGCTCAGGCCCTGTTCCCAGCGTCCTGGGATTGAGCCCCACCTTGGGCTCCCTGCTCTGTGAGAGGCCTGCTTCTCCCTCTCCCTCTGCCCCTGCCCGTGCTCTCTCGTGCTCTCTCTCTGTCAAATAAATAAATAAAATCTTAAAATAAAAATACTAGCACGGTGCGCTGCATTGATTGGATGAGCAATAACAATCATATGGTCATCTCAATAGATGCAGGAAAAGCATTTGACAAATTTCAGTACCCTTTTGTGATGCGTACTTTCAACAAAGTGGGTATAGAAGGAACAGGCCTCAACACCACAAAGCCATGAGGACAAGCCCACTACTCCCACTGGACTCGATGGAGAAAGATCGAAAGCTCTTGGTCTAAGATCAGGAACAAGGGAAGGATGTCCACTCATCCCCTCCTACGGCATGGAGGTTCCTCAGAAAGTTAGAGATGGAGCTACTCTATGACCCAGCATGTCGCACTACTGCGTGTTTATCCAAAGAACACAAACATAGTGATTCAAAGGGGCACCTGCACCCCCACGTTTATAGCAGTGATGTCCACAGCATGTGGTTAAGGAGAGACTTAAAGTGTAAAGTGCAAAACATATGTCCCGAGCTCTTCTACCTCCCCAAAGGGATATATTATCCATCTGTACTTGGATGTAGATTTTTCTGCAAAGATTCAGGAAAAATGATCAAACGTGCCCATCTCTATGGAGGAAGATTTGAAGTTGGTGGAGAGAGACCTCACTTTTCGACATATTTAGGATACGTCAAAGGGTTATCTTTGTATCACCTCGAAATTCAAATTCTAATGGAAATAACACCTGTAACTATATTGTTCCCAGCTTTGGAAATCAGAATCTCGAAGTAATGCATTCCATGACTGAGACGGAAGTGTAATCAGAGCGTCATTTAGAGACACCCACGGTGCCTGTGGTCTCACAGCGATGTCCGGGGCTGGCCCCCCGCTGACCCACCGTAGGGCAGCCCATCTCCCTCCCTCCCCCCAAGGGTGCTTGTTAGGGTAACCACCCCCCAGGAGGCAGCAGGACTGACTTATGCATTGAACACCAAGCCCCAGAGGAAGGGGTTTCCGCTGGGCACAATTTTGATCTCTTTACTACCCCCTTACTTTTTTAAATTAGAAAGTTGAAAACATTTTTGGAGCACTTGGCTGTCTCAGTCGGTGGAGAGCGTGACACTTGATCTCAGGGTTGTGAGTTCGAGCCTCATGTTGTGTGTAGAGATCACTTAAAAATAAAATCTTAAAAAAAAGAAATGTTTAAAACATTTTTTGACCAATACTAGCAGTCTGTAACAAAATGATTAACATTGGCTTAAAGCCATAGCTAGGCACCTAGTCAAAGTTAACTGTTCTTGGGAATAGCCCAGTATTTCTTGGAGCACAACCGCAAAGCTAAAACTTTAGGCTTGACTCTTGCATTATCACAATAAGCTCCATGAAGCTGTGAGTAAAAAAGACAAAAGAGTACAAGAAATACAGCCTGAATCTTAAAACTATAATTAAATCTTAAAAGTTTAAATTTTTTAAGATTTAAATACCTATTTTTTTAAGATTCAGACCAAATATGTACGTGCACATACACACCCACACGGCATTTCGTGAGTCATTTTATTCCTTTTTTTTTTTTTTTTTTTACTTTGGCTAACACACGTTCATTTTATTTGTCGACATAAATCTCACCGTCTGAACTATTTTTAAGTGTGCAGTGCAGTCACGTTAAGAACGTTCCCTGTGTTTACAACCATCCTCCCGAATTCTCTGAAACTCTGTCCTCCTTACACAGCCCCTCCCCTGTCCCCTTTGAGACCCGGTCCCCGGCAGTCGTCTCTGTGACATGGACCCTCTCGGGGTCTCAGCTGAGTGTCTTCATGCACTATCGCTACTGTAGGGACTTGGCCGGCTGAGTTCACGGAGTCTTCCTGTCCGAAGCCCGATGACCCTCCATGGTGTGGACACGGACATATCCGCGGACACCCGGGTGGTGCGCACCTTCTCCCGCTGGGCGCCCACAGTCCTGTTGTCACCGAGAGTCTCTGCTTTGCTTTCAGGCCCAGACGCACGGGAAGTGGCCGGTGAAGTGGTACGCTCCCGAGTGCATCAACTACTACAAGTTCTCCAGCAAGAGCGACGTCTGGAGCTTTGGTGTGTTGATGTGGGAGGCGTTCTCCTACGGGCAGAAGCCCTACAGGGTGAGCCCCCACCATTTCGGTTCTAGCTGCGTGGCTCGCGGAACAGACAAGCCCGGGATGATTGTTAGAGGACGGTGAAAATCATGAATTCAAAAAGTCTGGGCTCCCTGTCGAGTGACAGTGAGCCGCGGGGCGACCTCAGTTCATTCTAACCTGACACGTGACATTGACTGAGTAGCGTACTTAGTCTCGCTGGGCTTTACACATATAAGTACGCATGAGAGACGCCCACGTCGACGTTGTAATTGGAGTGGAAAGAGATATTTAATCCTGGCTACTTCCAGGGTTAAACTGACAGTTTAGTTAAAAATTTTAGATTTTTTGAAGTCAAAATATGTATGCCAGGAAGGGCATATGTGCTAGAATACAGCTTATAAGTTCTCACAAGTGGGTGTGTCCATGAAGCGAGCCCCCAGATGATGAAACAGGAGGCCCCCGCGTCCCCCGAAGGCACAAAGTGTCCCCCAGGGGCAGCCCCGTGTGACTTCTAGACCATGGGTTAGGGGCTCTTGTAAGTGAAATAGTGCAACATGTACTTTTTGCCTCTTTGGGCCGGGGTAGGGCTTAACCTGTTGATGTGCTGTGTTTTGCCGAATGCTGTCTTTAATAAGTCTGGGTTTGTTTTGCATTTTAGGGCATGAAAGGAAGTGAAGTTTCAGCTATGCTGGAGAAAGGGGAGAGGATGGGGTGCCCTGCGGGATGTCCGAGGGAGATGTACGAGCTGATGAAGCTGTGCTGGACGTATGAGTGAGTACCCAGCATGCCCTGCAGTTTATGCAAAGGCCCTGAGGCACACGGGAAGGCCCTGGAAAGAAGCACCCCCCTCTGCCTTTCCATGAACCAGGGCTGTGCTCCCTTCTAACCGAAGAGCTGTGAGTGGCTTGCTTCCTGGGCCAGGCTCTCGTACTCTTCAGTACAAAGAAGTAGTTTAGACAATGAGCTCTAATCCAGGTGTCAGAATTTAAGTGTAGATGCTGTCAGCTGGCGGGGAGGGCGGTCGGTGTAGAAGATGTCGGTGGGAGTCCGGGCTGGCGCTGTGTCCCCCTTTTGGCAGTACTAGATGGCGGAAGTACTCAGCAGGGCCATGAATGTCATACTTGCCTGATTCCCGACCACCTTTCCTGGCAAGACCAGGGGCATTGTCCAGGCCGCAGGAAGCACTTCCCCAGAAGGGACTCAGACCCGGGACAGTGGCTCTCAGCGTCGGCCGAGTGCCGTCAGGCATTCTGCCTGGACGTGCACGAGGTGCTGTAGAGGATGGTGTTCAGGGCAGATCCCCAGACCAGAGACATGCATCACAGCGGACAGGCAGGGACACGGCCTCTGACCTTGCCCGGATCGGAGGCCTGGGAGTGGGCTGTGGGGAAACCCTGACCCAGGGGTGCGTCTGTGAGCCCTCGGAGCGCCAAGGGGCCGCGGGTCTGTGATCTATGGGACCCGTGTGCTTGCCCGACCGTGGCTGTAACACTCAGGGTCAGGTTTGTGGTCAGCGACCTGGGCTGATGCAGCAGAGCATCTGGAGGGTGAGGAATACTCCAGGTGCTTTCAGATGCCTCTCGGGGTGCTGTAACTCCCGGAGGGCCATCGTCCCCCACGGCTGGGAGGGGAAGACTCTAGAAGGCCTGCAGGGTCAACCCCCAGGGGAGAGGGCAGACATTCTCTGGCTGACGCCTTGGACACAGCCCAGGGAAAGGGCCTTTGGCGGGGGTCCGATGGAGCCGCTGGGAACAGCGCAGGCTCGTCCCGGCCTCCAGCAGGCACCGCGCACCCTGCTTGGCTCTGGAGACCCCGCAGGCAGTGAGGATTCACTGGGAGCTGAGCCCCAGGTTGGAAAGGGGCTCTCAGTGCCTTCCCTCCATGCACTTGGGTCCCAGGCTCTGGCCTATGCAACCCCTTCCCAAGGACACGGGGTCAGGCGACCCCCAGCAGCAGGGCAAGGCCGCGGGTCGGGTGCAGTCCTGGGGAGGGCACTTACTAGAAGTAAGCAAGTTTCTAGAAGAAGGAAACTTCTCCTGGGGCAGGTTTCACTGCCTCGCGAAAGAATGCACTTGAAATCATTCTGAAACACATTTTAAAACCTGGAATTAAAATCAGGTCTCAGGGAGATAGTTAAAATCAGTGTTTTGGCATTTAACACTAAGACTGAGATGTTCATTTCTGACTGCCATCCTTTGTGTTTGCCGATGACGAGGGTAAGGATGGGCAGCAGGAGGCTCTCGGTGGGGGCAGGTGTGAGGGATGGTCCCGTGGGCAGGAGCGGCCAGGATGCCCCTCCCGCCGCAGCTCCGGCTCAGGCGCCAAGACCCCCAGCTCCGGGGGCACTCATGGGTCAGGGCACCCAATGCTGGCGCTCTGCCTGCCTGTCCCCACGGGACACGGACGGCCCCTTACATGGTTATCGGTGGCACGGTCCACAAAGGGAGACACGCAGGGGACACGGGTCTCCCGGGTCCTCACCAGACTTGTGAGCTCTCGGGAGCTTTGTTCCCGGGGCCGTGTGTGCTCACAGAGGGTTTCAGCTACAGCAGCGTGAGCCCTGCAGGTGGGGGCGTCTTTCCCACAGCTTCCAGCCTAAGCATGCGCTCTGGCGAGTCCCATGTCGCTAACGGAACACCAGCCACGGATGCAGTGTCGGCCAGGTTACAGGACTGATGGCAGTCGGTGCCTAAGATGAGAAACGATGGGCCCTTCTCAGTCTTCGATTTGTTTTCTAGCAGAGCCGTATTTCTGAAGGTCCAGGCTCTTCTGGTAGTGACCCAAAACCAGGTGGGGGACAGGACAGGGGTCCTGAGACTCGGTCTCAGTGTAAGTAGTGAGACGATGTTCCCTTGAATGACAAAGCATCGTTTTCTTGGGCACGGCCACCAAAGAACACTCATACCAGGAGACGGTCTGGCAGCCGGGTCCCCGCCCGGGGACCTCAAGACAACACCTGGCCAAGGTGGGCAGCAGTGGCTGCCATCACCCAGCTTTCCCTGCAGACCCACAGTGTGTCCCAGAGCAACGTTCTGGGGACTTTCCATGGTGGGGGCCAGAGCCCCGTGCAGGCAGCCAGACCCCCCGGACCTCTGGCCTTGCAGACGGGAGAAGGCATTCCGAGCACACCTGCCAAGGTCACACTGAGGGCGGGGGGGGGTGTCAGGTCCAGAAGGGAAGATGGTCCCTGAGGAAGATGGGGAGCGGGGGCCGGGGGCCTCAGTGTGTTTACAGAGTCAGTGCCTGGCCTGTAATTAGGGATGCCAATGGGAAAAACACTTGCAAATTAGGAGACTTGGGGTTTCTGCACCCTGAAAAATGGGCTTCTGCCTGATGGAGAAAAGCCCGGGATACTGAGGATCCCTGAGGTCAGGAACGATCTAGAGGGAACTCAAAGTGCTTCTTAAAGATCATTAAACCTGAGCAACGGGGTGACGTTGCCTGGACCATCTTGAGGCCTACCCCCGGCTCCCTGCTCTGCTCAGTGCCAGGTCTGCTCCCTCTGAGTGCCCTGTCCCGAGCGCCCCAGGATTCACGTGGGCCGCACTCACCACTAGAGGTGCTGTGTGCAAGCCACCATCCCATCAGCCGGGGCAGGGATCGGGGACCCTCACAGAAGGCCCAGACCCTGCCCAGCTAGAGCCCACGGGCGGGGGGAGGGGCGGACAGGCTATAAACAAGGTCGGGAACCCATATGCTCTCAGAAGGTGAGGAGTCCGATGGCATTTCAGTGCTGATGACACGGCCCAAGGGGGTGTTGTACGTGGGACTGGGGTCTTCGAATACTTCCCGGGTGCCTGGCTGCCGGTGGACAGAGACTCGGGAGCTCCAAGCATTTGGGTCCCCAGAGCTGGAGGAGAACGTTGAGTTTTGGAAAGACGAGGAGGTGCGCTCTTTGTAGAAGGAGGGAGGCCGTCTGTGTCACAGACGTTCAACCCACACTCCTGCCCCCGGGCCTGGCCCCCGGCCCTCCTTGACCACGGCTTGGCGCCAGAGGCATGGCTCGCACCACGACGCCCGAGGTGGCCTGTGTCCCCAGCCACGAGCACAGACGGCCGCTGAATTCCAGGAGTCCGTTACGGCTTTTCCTTGTCTTGAAGGCTGTAGAAGCCGTTAATTCGGGTGCCGTTTGACAAAACCCGTGCGGGCTCTCTTGTGGGGGTGAGTGATTCTGGGTCCCCGGGAGCCTGCCCCGGGCTGCCCTGCCAGACCCGCAGGGAACCTCTCGAAATTCCAGTCTGAATGTGGACACTTCCCTCAGGGTGACCTCAAGTTCTGGTTCACTTCCGGGGCAACTCTGCCTGCAGGCAGGGCAGCCCCAAATGGAAGCAAAATAAGTTCTGCTTCGGGGCAGGTTCCCACAGCCCTAAGACAGCTTCCTTCCAGCTGGTGCTGCCGCGTGGGGGAGAGCGGTCTCGACGCGCTTGGAGTTTAATGCAAATCAACGGCAGCTGTTCACAAAGTCCCGGGCAGTGTGACTGCGGTGGGGGAGGGCCCGGGGGGCGTGGCCACAGGCACCTGTCGCGGGGCGGACGCGTGTGTGCGGGACAAACAGTAACGGGGTCTCCCCTTCGCAGGGTGGAGAAGAGGCCTAGTTTCGAAAACGTGGAGCTGCGGCTGCGCAATTATTACTACGACGTGGTGAACTAAGGCCCCCGGCCCTCCGCGGCCTCCAGGGGACTGGGGGGCCGGGCCACGAAGCCCCCCCAGCGCCTGGATCGGGACAGCGTCCGCCTCTCTCCGCCGTCGGGGGAGCCAGCTTCGCGCGGGCTGTGCTGCAACTGTCCCCCGCGCGCTGTCACCCCAGAGCCCGCCTGAGAACACGCTGTCCGCAGAGCCCGGGGAGAAGGACCGCAGGCTCGGGGGGCCGTGGGTTCCTTCGTGTTTCCCGTCTGCGCAGCGTGTGGGGCAGGTCCCGCCAGCACCTGGGTCGGCCTCCGACCGTCCAGCAGCCTGGAGGCGGCCCCGCACGGCCCGGGCTCCGCTGCCTCCAGAACCTGGCTCCCACAGGTCCCAAGACTGGGCCCTGCCCAGAAGAGCTTTCCCGGCGATGAGTGTGCTTTGAGACTTTACAAAAGGAAGAAAGAAAAAAAGTCAAGCTGGACCAGTCCAGCTCCTAAGCTTGTAGCCAGTTAAGGGGGAAAAAAAAGTTTGGATGTTGCATTTGCTCTGTGTGTTCGGAGACACAAGACCCAGATCCTCGGGAAAGGCAGGGCTGTGGCATGAGCTGACCTGGCTGCCCCCTGCCCCCCTGCGAGCCTCTCCCCTGCACACCTTCCTGGGAGGCGGCTTACATGGAGATGGCGGGTGCCTGTCCCCTTGGGCCTGAGCAAGGACAGACGACAGCGTGCAGGGGCTGTCCTCTCCGCAGGGAGGTCCAAACCCCCCTCCCCTAGAGAGATGGTGCCCCCAGAAACCCCGACTTTCTCTGTGTTCATGGCGTGGGGGTGGGGTGGGGACAACGCGGGGGCCAAGGCCATCTCCGCGTGAGTTTCCTAAGATTGTATTAATTCATAATAAAGCCAGACCCTGAGCCTCGCCACAAGCATGCCTGAGTGTGACCTTGTCCTGGAGACACGGGACCGGGCATTCTCTGATAGCTCTCTAGTCGCCCTGGAGTCACGTGCAGGGTTACGCAGGTCATTGGCCCATCTGTGCCGTTCGGAAGTCAGAGGGAATGAGCCGTCCTTCTTAGGTCAGCTGAGACCCATAAGACACAAGACCCCGAGACATTTTAGAGTGTCCGTCTGGCATCTTGTCAGGAGGGTTGTCCCTTCCAGTAACCGGGGAGGAGGCCGGGGGGACGCAGCAGTCAGCACGCTTGCTCAGCCAGAAGCAGACAGGAGTCCCTCATCGAACGGGTAGGGAGATGCGTTTAGAACCCACCTGTGCTGTGTTTTTGTTTTGATTTTGGAATTGGGCTTGCTGGTGGATTAATCCTTTTTGTTAGAGAAGGTCCTGGCGTGCTGAGCAGATACTCAGAACAGTGGCAACACACATCAGAGCCCCCGACATCAACAAGCTGTGGGACACAACCGTGCGGTGGGGCCCCCCGTGGATTTGGAGTCGCGCCTGGAAGGGCTGGATGGAGCGTGGGGACCTCTGAGCAGGAGGCCGCGCATGGAAGGCTCCGTGATGCGGACGTGCGCCATCTGGGAGGGGAGGGTCCTCAGCAGGCCCTGCCGGGGCTGGACCTCACGGGCGTGCCGCCCTCCGCCCGGTTCTCCCTCCCCAGGCCTGAGCCCCCTCCTCGTGCCTTCCCTTCTGGTCCTTGCTCTGCGGGAACAAGGCAGTTCATGGACAGACATACCGCTCAGGGCAGAACCTGTCACTTCTGGTGCCACGTACACACCCCATGTCCCCACCGCGGGACTGGAGGTTTCCATAGCACAACCATAACCCAGTCTGTGGTGACGGGACCGCTTGTGGTTTTCATGCGAGCGTGTCCCCACGCGGGCTGTCGCTGGCCTTGGTTTTCCTACTGGACGGCAGCGTCACGGTTCCCCCAGCCCCGTGACGGCCGCCCCGCCTGGACGTCCACACGCACAGGTGACTGCTGGGTCCTCCTGCTGGCCACTCCCCACCCCAAAGAGCACATGTCACCATTTCAGAAGAATGACTTTTGTCACCAGACTTTTCTTTTTTCTTTAACTGACTTTTTAATAATAACTTTAAACTAGCTTTGTGATGATTTTCACGGAATACTGTAGGTTGTAACGTCAAGTAAACAGTGTTAAGCAGCATCGTGAAATGTGAAATGTGGTGTTTAAAAAAAAAAAAAATGCTAAGTGCCCAGTTGAGTCCTAAGAAGACGGCTGCACAGAGATACCTGGGAGTGGGTCTGGGGGCTTCTCTTGCGCAAAGGCCTGCTGAGGAATTCCTGGGGGCAGGGGGTCTGCCCAGGGAGGGCCTGATAGCCCACCTCATGCCCTCAGGGAAGGGGGTGATGATGCCGGGAACCCCCACAGCACAGGTGTGCCAAGTGGCAACAGAGAGCACCAGTCAGTGGGTCCCCAACACCAGCCGTGGTGGGTCCCCTGCACCGGGGGAGGCTCCCCCACCAACCGGCGTGGATGCCTGCGAGTGCAGACTCCCAGGCTGGGGGCCCAACTCTGAACACGTCAGAGGGAGCCCCACCTCGTGAGGACCTGCGGGCCGGCTGGGCGGTGACTCAGGAAGCCAGCGACCTTGACTCCGAGCCTTCAACCCCGGGGAGGGCACAGGAACCGCAGCGCCGCGGAGGCAGGGACGTGAGACAGCTCTGTCGCCAGGTGAGCTCGGGTAGAGGGATCTGAGACCCAGGATCGTGGCTCCAGGTGCGGACAGACGTCAGAGCGCGTCAGTGAACACGTTCCCGGTGCAGGGGAGGAAGAGTCTTTTCCAAGAGCCGGAATGAGAGGTGGCTTTTCTGCAGGCTCCAGTAGGGTGGGAGAGACGGGGCTGATGGTTCCACGTCCTGCTACTTCTGGACACCTCTCGTGGCCTCGGGAATGGTGGCCAGGGACAGCGGGTCCTCCCCAGTCCCTGCGTCTTTCTCGGTGATGGGAGGCAGGCAAAGGCAGAGCCCAGCCCTGCTCCTGCTCCTTCCCCCTGCAGGCACGTGGAGAAGCCAAGACAGACCGTCCGGGGCTTCTGCACCAGCGAGGCTCGGCCCTGCCCGGGAAGGGCCCCGGTGCCCAGCAGCCTACTCGCAGTTAGAGGGGCCCAGCAACAGAGACCTTTCCACACATTCCCGCCAGCTCAGCGTGTCCCCGACTTCTCTGGCCACAGCCCCCCATCGTGCTCAGGGCCTGTTAGCAACACGGAGCTGGCGATCCACACACAGGCCAGAAAGCCGCAAACGAGGGAGGCGGCTCTACTGGGGACAAGGGGCGCTGCTGGGGAGCCAATTCTGTCCCTGGCGTCAGCCGGAGAGGCTGTCCGCTGTGCTACAACCGGCCCCGTCCTGATCTCACATGTGGGTTCTCTTCTCGCGCGCACACACCCAGCACACGTACAAGCGATCACTCCTTCAAAGAAAAACAAGCAGCAATGGTAGCAACTCGCTACACCAGGGCTGCCCAGGGCACATACTTGGCGTTTCACCACCTAGAGCTCTTTCGAAGGCCACGTAGGATGTTGGAGCTTTGCAGAATTAGCCTGGAGGGGAAGAAAGCACTTCCTGGAGCCGCCGCTGCCCCATCCACTGCTGACATCGCCTGGTCTCCCTCCACACCCTGAGCCCACGGCACACGTCTGCTTGTCGGCCTCTGTCTGTCTGGCCGGGGGCTGCCGGTCACGGCCCCTCGCAGGGCGTCAGCTGACCACTGGTCGCGCCTGGCACACACACCGCTCGGCCGGGGTCGGCTCCGGGAGCGACCTCGTTAGCGAGCTGTTATTCGACCAAAGCCGTGAGTCACAAGGCAAGGCCTCACCGTCCCTGAGGTCTCGGAATGACTCAGTTTTCCATACACGTCATGACACTGTGGAACAGTGGGTGAGAAAGCCATGTTGCTCGTAAATGGCTCTTCCTCGTTCGTGGAAATTAAGCTCCCACGTCTGGGGCTGGGCATGGTCCATGGCTGGTAGCAGGTGCCACCGTGGATTTCCCTGAGCCGCTGACGATGCCAGAGCGCGGGGGACATCGGGGCTGGGACCACTCCCCGCTCAGGCCCGGCTGTCGGAGGCCTTCCCTCAGGACGGGGGGCACCGCAGAGGCCGTGGCTGCGCACACAGGGACGGGAGGGGAACTGTTTTTGCTACGTGGGCCCTTGCCAGTGTCTGTGCCAGTCAGAGAGTGGTTTTCACGGAGGAGGCGAGCCACCGGCCCCCAGGCTGTGAGGTTCCTGGCCTTCGTGCTCCCGGGACTGCACAGACAGTGGCCCTCATGCTCACCGCGCGTGTTCCCCGAGCTGCCGCATGCACAGTCTCGCACAGCCGCGCACTGTCCCCTGGCCACTGTCACGGCTGCGGGACGTGCACCACCAACCACCCCCACCCCACAGAAGGAGGAAAGAAGACGCTTGCTGTTCATCTCTGTGCGTGTGCAACAGTGCAAGTGGCAGGAGGGCGCAAACAAAAAGGACTGAGCCCACACACGTGCACATGCGCACACACGTGCACACACACGTGCACACACGCACACATGTGGACACACGCACACACATGTGGACATGCACACACAGGCTATCAGCCCACCGGCATCCGGGATGACTCAGATGCCAGGCTGGCCTCCGGGATGGGCAGGATTACGCCGGGGAGACTCCTGCGAAGGGAAGTGCCGCCCAGCTCCAGGCTGGCTGGGAGTAAGCACCGGTTTAGTCGACTTAGTCCTGCCCTCAAAGCATGTAGTCATTTGTTCAAGCCGGGACACTCTTCTGCGGAAAGTGAGTAAGATTCCCATCCATGGCTCTCACCCCAGGGGGGGCCTCCGAGCACCGGCCCGTCCCTACAGCTGCACACCACTGTCGGCAAACCCAGGGCCCCAAGCTGGCCAGGGGGCCCCTGTCCTGCAGTGTGTGTGTGTGTGTGTGTGTGTGTGTGTGTGTGTGTGACCCTGTTAAACAGTATCTGTCTCTTTGTTCCTGAGCCTCGTGTCGTCCTAATACTCCTTTCAACATGAAAATCACACTCTGTCATTAACCTACTTGGTCACCATTTTCCCAGGTCAGCCCAGGGTGTGCACCCTGGGTTCCCATCCCCAGCCCCCCAGAGTTAACCCTGCTCCCCATGTCCCCCGCGCGGGGCTGGGCCTGGGGCACGCCTTCCTACTTCACTTCCCCATGAGGGGTTTGTCTCTCCTGGGCCCCTCCAGGACTGCCCGCCCGCTCGGGCTCCCAGGG